GCAATGAAGAACACTGGGCTATCCCATCTGGCAGCACCACGCCACAGCGACAACGAAGCCGTCCTTTGTCCACACATCTCGGTGAGCCGAGGAAGCTCTGCGTTGCTCCGGGGTTTGAAAGTTCGAGCCGCACCATCACCAGGCACTACTGGTGGAGCCGGCCAGAGCCTGGTAGCACCGGTGTAGTGGCCGTCTGGACAAATTGAGTGAATATGGATCCCAATCTGTCCATCATCGCCACCACCTTTATAGCCTCTCCCCTCTCCCGTTACTGTCATGAGATTCAATCTTCATTAATCTGATCATAATAATTAGGTTTTTTTTTTACTAGCGGCCGGCACGTCTCGGAAGTCTGTCCGTTCGTTCGTCCATCCCTCGCTCCGGAGGGGACATGACGTCCTGCCAGCCAACCAGTCAGCAAAACCTTTTTTTTCTAAAATAGTGTGAAGTATATGATATACAGTGAGGGAAAAAAGTATTTGATCCCCTGCTGATTTTGTACGTTTGCCCACTGACAAAGAAATTATCAGTCTATAATTTTAATGGTAGGTTTAATTGAACAGTGAGAGACAGAATAACAACAACAATATCAAGAAAAACGCATGTCAAAAATGTTATAAATTAATTTTCATTTTAATGAGGGAAATAAGTATTTGACCCCTCTGCAAAACATGACTTAGTACTTGGTGGCAAAACCCTTGTTGGCAATCACAGAGGTCAGACGTTTATTGTAATTAGCCACCAGGTTTGCACACATCTCAGGAGGGATTTTGTCCCACTCCTCTTTGCAGATCTTCTCCAAGTCATTAAGGTTTCGAGGCTGACGTTTGGCAACTCGAACCTTCAGCTCCCTCCACAGATTTTCTATGGGATTAAGGTCTGGAGACTGGCTAGGCAACTCCAGGACCTTAATGTGCTTCTTCTTGAGTCACTCCTTTGTTGCCTTGGCCGTGTTTTGGGTCATTGTCATGCTGGAATACCCATCCACGACCCATTTTCAATGCCCTGGCTGAGGGAAGGAGGTTTTCACCCAAGATTTGACGGTACATGGCCCCGTCCATCGTCCCTTTGATGCGGTGAAGTTGTCCTGTCCCCTTAGCAGAAAAACACCCCCAAAGCATAATGTTTCCACCTCCATGTTTGACGATGGGGATGATGTTCTTGGGGTCATATGCAGCATTCCTCCTCCTCCAAACACGGCGAGTTGAGTTGATGCCAAAGATCTCCATTTTGGTCTCATCTGACCACAACACTTTCACCCAATTGTCCTCTGAATCATTCAGATGTCCATTGGCAAACTTCAGACGGGCATGTATATGTGCTTTCTTGAGCAGGGGGACCTTGCGGGCGCTGCACGAACATCCTCCCGTGTAGTTCTGGGCTGATTCCTCACCGTTCTCATGATCATTGCAACTCCACGAGGTGAGATCTTGCATGGAGCCCCAGGCCGAGGGAGATTTACCGTTTTTTTGTGTTTCTTCCATTTGCGAATAATCGCACCAACTGTCGTCACCTTCTCACCAAGCTGCTTGGCAATGGTCTTGTAGCCCATTCCAGCCTTGTGTAGGTCTACAATCTTGTCCCTGACATCCTTGGAGAGCTCTTTGGTCTTGGCCATGGTAGAGAGTTTGGAATCTGATTGATTGATTGCTTCTGTGGACAGGTGTCTTTTATACAGGTAACAAGCTGAAATTAGGAGCACTCCCTTTAAGAGTATGCTTCTAATCTCAGCTCGTTACCTGTATAAAAGACACCTGGGAGCCAGAAATATTTCTGATTGAGAGGGGGTCAAATACTTATTTCCCTAATTAAAATGCAAATCAATTTATAACATTTTTGACATGCGTTTTTCTGGATTTTGTTGTTATTCTGTCTCTCACTGTTCAAATAAACCTACCATTAAAATTATAGACTGATCATTTCTTTGTCAGTGGGCAAACGTACAAAATCAGCAGGGGATCAAAAACTTTTTTCCCTCACTGTATGCACGTCCCTTTACTCTCAGCGGGCTGTGTACGCGCGATAAGCTACCAACTTCACCAAATCACCGGATGCAGTCGGCACTGGCCTTCATTCATCCGCTATCTTCATTAGACCCGCGGTCTTAATTAATCCGTAGTATTCAAGAATCGTCTTTCTTAATTAAGCTGCCGTCTTAATTAAGCCCCGTGGTCAGCATTAAGCCAGGGTCTTCATAAAACACCGGTCTTCGTGATTTTCTACAGTCTTCAATCAGCCGCTATAATATCAATTAACATGTCGCCTTCATTAAGCTTCAGTCTACTTCAATCCCGAATCTTCATTAAGCCGTATTGTTAATGAAGCCGGCACCTTCATTTAGCTACAGTCTTCATGACGCCAGTCTTAATTACACGCGCCTCCACATGTTTTTACCCCATCTTCCCCATTAAAATACAAATTAATATTCATTAACCTGCAGGCTTAATTACAGGCCACGGTCTTCATTACAAGCGGAGCGTCTTCATTTAATTCATCCACGGTCTTCAGTAAACCTTCAACTCCCCATTACTACGGTGGCGGGGGGGGTTCGGGTTCTTAGCGAGGCCGGCAGATTCAATTAAGCCACGATCTTCACTCATCCAAAATGTGGAGATGACCAGAACAGCCCCTATCAAAACGGAAAAGCAGTGCAGGCTGCCAAACCTCGAGTGTGCAGCGATTGAGTACTCTCTGTAAAGAGGTTGATTGCTCTTGGTATTATGGGGTTTTTTTGCGTGGAGTTCCAAACTTCATCTTCACCTGGGTGCTATCGTCATTAACCCCACGGGTCTCTATCAAACCAATTTTCTTGAGAAAAGGCGCTGAATCATCTGGTTCGTCCCCACCACCACGCGTTGCTTTACATCACAACGCAACGTTATAATTGGCTTCCCGTGGTATTTAACAATGGTAACTGCGGGGCGTTCTCTCTGAAATGTAGTTTTACGCAATGTTTTTACCAGTGTAATAATATATACCGCTTATTTGTAAATCCACTGCTGGATTTATTTGTAAATCCCCCATGCAGTGTCGGCCCTGTGGGTGATATAATCTTATTTTAGGAATGTTTCCTTTTTTGAATATATTTTTTTATTTAATGTTTATATGACGCTTTGAGTGGCAGATACGTACCAGAAAGGCGCCACGTGTTAAGCGAAAATAAATTGATTTGACGACTTGAGACATTAACCATTGTGCCGTACGGGCGACCGACATTGCAGCTGCGTTTCTGCTGGGGGAGCGGGGGCCGGGGAGGCTGTCCGTTTTGTCCGGTGCGGGTTTGTTTTCCCCGACTGATGTTGGATGAAGACAACAGCCGTGCCCCCGCAAGGAGCAGCCGCCGGCTTGGGGCTATAATTACCGTGGAATTTCCATGGAATCAACCCGATTGGTCGGAACGCGGAGATGGCGCGGGAGCAGTAATTGAATCATATTGAGGTCAGCAGTACACGCACGGGCGGGGATGGAATTTCAGCGACGCGCGGTTTCGGGGTTAAGCGATCTTGCGGCAGCTTTAATGCCATATTATTTGCAGAGGTAAACACCACCACCCCCTACACAGATCACGCACCTTGAGTTAAGTCAGCATAATTTATCAGGATCGGAGCGGTGGTGCAGTGGTTGGCGCACTGCGCTATGAACCCGGCTCCCCATCCGAGTTAAGATTCCTTGCAAACGTTATGTATCCTCGGCTGAACATAAGCGGCAAGCGAAAGCTTAACTGGCTCTGGGCACCACTCATTAACCTCCACCAACCAGCACTGCCGATCATGGCAAAATATAATCAAACCTCCTTGACCCCTACGATACTAGGAGGCCTTGATCCAGCAGCGGACTGGCCTTGTACCTCTGATTCGCACGGTTGGCTGCGTACGGTGCGAAATAAGTTCAACATACAAAGAGCTGTCTTATTTACAGTATTTATCAGGGGCAACTTCAGCGGCACGTGTCAGGTCAATTATTGTTTAAAAACAATCTAAATTCAAGCCCGTGCTGTATAGACAAATCTTACCAATGTTTAATTTGATGCCTTTTATCTATTAACATCCCAATGAGGTGGTGTGCTCCCACCTCGTATCCACCGCAAGAGTGCCACAAGAATACATTAAAATTGGACCTGCACGTAACGCTTGACTGCAGATACTCTTGTAGGTTTGCGTTTTATAGGAATCCGTCACAGCTCTTTATTGACATATATATGGATACATAAAGATCACAGGCTACAGTGATATATTCATGTACAGACAAAACATCAATCTCTGCTATGACCATTGTAATGAAACATTCGTCCAGGAGGCCCAATGCTTGATGGACTATGAACAGGCAATACAGACTTTTATCGCATCTTTTTGAACAACACTGTGCAACATCACGATGAATTTTATATGCTTCATATGTAGCCTGTATTTTGTGCATCGTGAACACACCAGCCTGGCCGTTTCACCCGATTCCACACATTGACAAGGAATGTTCTCGGAGGGTGACGCTCAGATTTCAAACAAATGTTGTACACTAACGGTGCACGGTGATGCATCATGATTGGCAAAATTTCACATGGCTCTCATGGCGGACGTATATACATTTTCTAAATTGAGAAACAATGATGAAAATGTCTGTGAAAGTGTAACAAAAGAAGCAGCTCACAACGGGCACGTCAGATGGATATGGCCTCATCACATCCACACAATCCTCCACAACCTTCTGACAGTTTTGCTTTGAAGATGTCAATTTGGAGACAATATTGAATTGGTGAGATGTGACGAGTCTACGATCGATGCATCCCCGCTTTGAACCGGCCATACTTGATTAAATTCTTAAACCGTGGAGCCGAGAACTGGTTGCGTAAGGGACTGTAGCTTCAAGATGTTATATCCTATTGGCAGTGTATCTGGTTAGAGTTGATTGCAATGGTAAATAAAAGAAACAGCAACTGCTCAACACGTGGCGTGTGAAGGGATGTAGAATACGTAAAGGGTTAATGGGGAATACCTCGATTGTACCTGCCAGTGGCAACGAGGGACACGTGACATTTCAGAAATCCTGTTCTAACACGCACTTTTTCACGTACAAAGTTTGGTTCAAATTGAAGTATGAATGTCCCTTGTGAGATAGTGCATTGCACAATCATCGCAGATTTTGAAAATCAACGAAGTGGTCCGTACTTCCTATATTCTCAGACACAAGAAATTAGGTTTATGGTCCATCACACCTGTGCACTTTCAGTGCCCTATTGCCACCCAGTGGTGGCATGAGAGCTAACAGGATTTTCTTTCCCCTCAAAGACCCTCAATCTGCATCATGGTGTCAATTGCCTGGCACCCCAAATGATGGCTCAAACGCAACTGTCGTGTGAAGAGAATTTGCCAACAATCAGCAACAGCTCAATCCGGCATACGAAAACAGCCGCCATTCACCGCTCGTGATGGGGATGCCCCTACAGTGTTTGTGCCAGGCTAGGTGCATGTTGAGGACACGTGAGGTTTCGAACAAATCCCTGGCAGGTCAAGGGACAGACCCAGGTGTTTTCAGTGAACAGAGATGACTGGAAAATGCACCACCTGTGCCAACTTAGCCGCTCGGCACTAAAACACGGCAAACGCACACATTACAAGCATAGGCCGCTGCACTTTTACTGCGGGTGTGCGATTCCTTTATCTCCACATTTATACCGGTCGCTCGATAACTGTGGTTTATTGCAGCACTCCCGCACAAAACACCTCTGCACGTCGCCAACGCTGATGACTTAGGGTCTTCCCTCCCAAACGCATTAGAGTAGCACGCGGCGTAAAGGTTATTCCTGCACTTTCTTGACCATATACTGAACAGAGACAGCATCATAAAATGTTGGCAACTAGACGACAAATGCAATAAATGCAACCGACTGAATAACAATACGAACAAATAATCTTTATTTTAAAGTTACTTCATTTACAAAATAAACACGTGGACTCGTTTAGATTTTATAAAAATTACACATTATGCATTCACCTAACAATCACATGTTCATGAATAAAACACATTAAAGAACAACATTAAAAAGCACCGAATACAGCCCAGGGTTTAAGTCAAAGCCAAAACGTCATGACCGGTGTAAAATTTCCACAACTTATCGAGCCCTTCGTGTTGTCATTGCTCACGTGCTCTCCTTTACCACAAGACACTGCCAGGGCCTCCACCCTCACCTCGCCAATCCCTCCCTTGCTCATTACATGAAATCATCAAGGAAGTCCTCCGAGTCCAGGCCCTCCATGAGCTCGTTGGCCAACTCGGCCAGTTCCTTCTTGACCGGAGCGTCAGCCTTGGGCCGCTGCTTGCTGCTGGGTGGTGGTGCTTGCGGGAGGTGCTGGCTGCTGATGCTAGCCTGTGAGGCCTGAGTGGAACCCGAGGAGGCCAATGTGTCCCACCGGCCCAGGCCGTCGGCCTCCCTCTTGGCCTGGCGGCCCCCCGAAAGGAGGCGCATGCTCTCCTCAAAGTACTCGTTTGGGTGGTTGAGGGCAAAGCTCGTGTCCTCCACCTTGTCGAGGAGGCGCACACACACGGGGTTGCCATGTGTTAAATTTAAAAGCACTGAATAACAACCTAGATTTGAAGTTTTCGTGACTGCAGGGATCCATACTCCTTGGTTCTTTCGGTAAAGTCACGTAGGTGTAAAATAAAATAAATCACGACGTTTCGGGCGCAACACAAGCGTCCGTCATCAGGAAAGAACCAAAGAGTATGAAACGCTGAATAACAGCCCGGGGTTTAACATTAAAGCCAAAACGTCGGTGGAGCGAGGTCGTCTCCCTCGCCTCGTATACAGGTGGTGGGTTCGATCCCAGCCCTGACGCTTGCTGTATATTTGGAGTTTGCATGTCTCTATCCCCGTGGTCGCGTGGATTTTTCTCCGGGACCTCTGGTTTTTCCCTCCACTTTGAGAAACATGCATTTAAGATATTTGGCTGCTATAAATTTCCACATATTCCACTTCCTTGAGCAATCATTTGTGGCCTGGCCGCTTCTTAAAAAACAATAGCTCAGTGGGCTTTACCTGATAAATAAAATAGTATATATATTTTTTGTTTTAAACGAACAAGCCATGGGAAAATGCATATATATGCAGAACTCTGTTGTCTCATGTCAATAAAAGAACATTTTAGTTGACTGGCCCATTGGCCCTCCGGACCAATGTTATCCAACAACATTTGTTTAAGCAAGCACACTCGAAGCAATTTATTTAAACAAGCAAACGCTGCACGACAAATACTGCTGGATATTAATCTGAAAAGCCAATAGGCCAGAGGAATACGATGTTTTATTTATGTGGATACATAGAACAATGCCGCCTACTTATACGTGCTTTGATCCATAGAGTTCCACCAGGAACACATGAGTTTTCTTTAAAACCTTATATAATTGTGGCAGCTCGGCATATTTAATGTGTTTGAAGACTGATGTTGCTAATATTCATGGAGAGTAATTTGGAAAACAAAGCTTACCTTGTGCGTAACTTCAAAGTACTTTTGGCAGGCCAGCTGATAATGCATTCCTTTAACCAGGTCCAAAATCTAAGCAGAAATATTGGCGATTAATAATTACTACATGTCTGTCCAAAACAAATAAACACAATGAACTGGGCAAGACATAATATACACTAAAATACTATCGGGCAACAGCACCATAAAAATATATGCTGACGAAAGCTGCAGTTATTTTAAGATAACATTTTGTAAATGCTTAAAATTACTATTGGGAACCCAGTATCCTGAGGGCACAATTAAAATTGACTCGCCTGCAAAGGAAAATGCCACGATCGGCAAATAGGACGACCTCTCCCTCCCCCCCTCGCTTTCAAAAACAGCTGCTTACACGGGAGTCCTCAAGCCGCCAGACGTTCCAATCGGGGAAGCATTGATCGACCGCCACAGCCTTTGCACGCCCATGCTCTTGCCTGCTCACCCGCCCCTATGCATAATTTAGGAGCAGCCGTGTGGTGTGGCAGTGGCTCCCAGAGGCCCCCCCCTCCCGCACTGCCGTCTCTACCGCTTCGGAAATTCCCATCATCGACCACGCACCAAGTGTCGTCTTGCGGATGTTTGGCCCACAAGGCTGCGGCAAGTGTTTGGGAAGTGACAAAAACCGTAGCTTGGGATGTCGACGTGACGTGAAGGTTAACGCCACGGCAATTCAGGTCACCGGTTCGATCTCTCGGTACAGCAGTCAAAACAATAGGCGAGTTTATTAAATCTCGCTGCCCCTGTCCACCCAGCAGTTAAGTCAATCTGCAGGTTGCGTGTTGAACTTTAAACTGTGGGTTCTTCACAATACGTCTAGCTAGCATGGCAGAGTAGACCCAAGTACCCTCTAGAATGGCTCCTTCTGGGAGAGGCCCTTCCGCCAGCATTGACATGACTAGGTAACAACAGGATACACCTTTAGCGTTTTTTTATACTGTAGTTGCTTAATGACTGTGTAAAATTCTCCCAATCTATCACGGAATGGCACAGCACACAATGACTTATTGTTGCAAAGTCATGGAATTGATTAAGCCAGTATGGATTTGCAGGCTGTGCTTTAGATTTTTTCTCAACACAGGTTATAAAGCATTTTTGGTTATATTTGAACTGAAAAACCACTCGTTCCACAATACAATTTGTTCATCAGCAGACTGTGCAAAACATCTACCATCGTGTAATAATCAAACCAATAACATAACAACCCATAACTGTGCCATCATTGCCTATGTGAATGCGACTCGTTAACTTACTAGACGCATCGAAGATGGAGTGCTATGCATGACTATAATTATGACACAAATCCATCCGGGCTGTTCCTAAGTGTGGTCACACCTTAACGAATTTTGCACAAGCCTTGGGGTAAAAATAGCAAACTTGGTAATGAAATTTCTTAAAGCTCTCGACTTAGCAATTACAGATTTTTTCTTTTCTCTGCTTCCTGTCGATCTTTCAGTGTCAGATCGATGGTGACGATACCACACGACCACAACAATTCGGGATTTTCTGCCCGACACCACATCCCTCTTCCCCGAGCAATCGTTACGCCGCTCAGTAACAAAGGGCCTAACTAAACTTTCATTCCCTTCACCGTTCATCTTTCATGACAGAAAATCGAAGCGGGGAGGTGCAGAGCCTTGTCGCAAGCCGCCCGCCACCCGCCACTGTACCGCCGCAGCACTCAACTCACCAGCAGCCCCTCTCCCATATGCCAGCACACCATCGATGCAATGCAATATTTTACACACCTTTAAATGTTTCCATAGGTGCACATGTATGCTTAGAAGCTGTGATTAAAACGCTGAGAATGGGAACCCGTTGAACTTAATATGTATTGAGTAAAATGTGTTTCGGAACACACGAGATGTGGCCATGTCTGCATGCATGCTTTATGCAGTTAATTCCCGATCGGCCATGGGCAAATTAACTATGCTTGCAGAATGTATATATATCTGCGGTTATGTTTCCTCTACCTGATGATGATTGCTTGTGTTGCAATCGAAACGTCGTATATTATGTAATTTTATTTTTATTTTCTTATTTCTACGTGACTTTACTGAAAAAAACAACGATTAATTCCTGCAGTCACGAAAGCATCAAATCTAGTTTGAACCACCTCTTCGGGGAGGTATGAAATCTATGTCTTTGTGTTCTCTGCTGGTGTGCCTGCCTTTGTGTCTTGAATTGGATTTATGTCGCTGTGTTGTCTCTACATATAGTTGTGCACCTGGGTGCCTCTAAGTGTGCGCTGCTGCGCCCCCTCTCTGTGTGCCTGACAACTTATATCATGATAATTTGTGTCCCATTGTCTATGAGTCCCAGCCCCTCCATCTCTAGCTACTTAAAGCCTCGGTACAGAGTTGCTCCACTTCTTAACTGTGCGCGTTTCTCCCCCCATAGGTGTCTCTACGGTAATTATTCTATCACTATCTTAAATTTTACACTTAACTTACAATTTAACAATCTTTGAAACAGCGTATTCAACCAAACCATGCGTTAATTGTGTTTTAACCGACCGCCTGTGTTGCTTTACATAGTTCCAAATTTTGCTAAACCCTGTTTGATTTAGCGTGATGTTCCGTCTCTCTGTATCCCCTGGTATATATCTGTGTTAATTCCCTCTAATTAAGGTCTGTATATATATCTGCGGTTATGTTTCCTCTACCTGATGATTGCTTGTGTTGCAATCGAAACGTCGTATATTATGTAATTTTATTTTTATTTTCTTATTTCTACGTGACTTTACCGAAAAAAACAAAGATTAATTCCTGCAGTCACGAAAGCATCAAATCTAGTTTTTTCCCTCCTGAGATGTGTGCAAACCTGGTGGCCAACTACAAGAAACGTCTGACCTCTGTAATTGCCAACAAGGGTTTTGCCAGCAAGTACTAAGTCATGTTTTGCAGAGGGGTCAAATACATATTTCCCTCATTAAATGCAATTCAATTTATAACATTTTTGACATGCGTTTTTCTGGATATTTTTGTTGTTATTCTGTCTCTCACTGTTCAAATAAACCTACCATTAAAATTATAGACTGATCATTTATTTGTCAGTGGGCAAACGTATAAAATCAGCAGGGGATCAAATACTTTTTTCCCTCACTGTACATGCTTTACACTACCATTCAAATGCAATACCTTACACTTCAATATGCAGGGGAAGGTAGTAATTGAGGGAATATTCCTTGGTAAAAGACCGAGAGGAAGAAAGATAATCTTAAATGCTCGATGGTGTTCAAAAAGGACTTACGTACAGACAGATGAGGAGAGCAGAATGCATCACAATGAAGGAAAACGTAATGAAATTAACACAAGAGATAAATGCAATTAATCTAACATCCTCATTCCCATTTCCAACATCATCCTAAAACTCCAAATGAATATTTTAGAGTTAAAAGCATCCAGGATAATGAACCTTCTAATAATGTAGACGAGACTCACTTGGCTAATGTCTGCAGAAGGCACTTTATACGCCAGGAGTTTCATCTTGAGGAGTTCTGGCTCCGTATGCCGGAAAGGACAACCTGCAATTAGAACCCTCACGTCAATCACTTTTAATAAATAATTGCCATCATTGAGCACTGACACATTAACTCTTCACTGAGGCCAAATCTCAACATTCAGGCATAGACGTAGCGGTGGCAGCAGTAGTAGAAGCAGCCAGCTGACAGCGCGTGGAGGCAAGGTCATATTCGACGTGCACACAACGGAGAGGGAGCCCTCTCTCTTGTCAAATGCCAGGATGATGTTCGTCGTCTCGGCTCCACCGCCCACTGCAGTGAAGGTGCCTTTTGTGAAAACTAAGGTTACTATTTAAGTTGCGGTTCATCAAGTTGAGTGTCTTGAGTATTTATATTAATGTGTGTGACAATGCGATGTCTTGATAAAGAAATGTTGCGTGAGAGAAGATCTCTGTTTCAATGAGAGGGTACATAATTCGGAATTTTGTGAAACGCAAGTTAAAGTGTCAGCGAATGCATGTCCGATTATTGAAGCGAGTGTTATTTCCAGGCTGGCGTGTTAATAAAAATTCAAACTACTCCTCCTCACCGTGGTAGTCACCCTGTGCTGGCATGTTGGTCATGATGATCTTCATGCAGCTGTAAGGAGTGTAGTCTGTGCGCTTTCCCTCCTTTCCGTAGTTGTGCCTGACGTTGTAAGCGTATGACTTGTCAAACTACAAAAAACATGATTGGGAAGTCGGCAAAACAATGAGGCAAATTAAAAAAAAAAAGTTATTCGCATTCACAAGCTCCGAATAACATTACCCTCATAACATAGCCTCCATTATGCACATGTACAGCCCCTTTGTCAAAGCACTGCTGGATGAGAGCTTCCACACGTTGTGTGCATTGTGGAAGGGATACTGGACCAAGATTCACCACGCTGGTCAACGCAGGCTGGTAAAAGTACAGATATGGGTGCATGGATTTTGCTGTGTTGACTTCTGCTGTTTACCACGCAGTCACACTTCATCATCTTAAATCTTTAATAAAAAAACATTTTTGATAGCTTAAAGAGAAACTCTAACTGCCAATTTGTACTCTCGTTCGCTACATTTAACATTTCTCGTGTGATTTTTTTAAAGCAAGACATTAACTGCCACACAAACGAACAAGTGTGCATTCCTTGCCAAGATAATAACAATTTACGGCAAGGAAGTTGCTCACTCTACGGTCATCGCACCTTGTCAGCGCCCACACCCAGCGCGAACTCGGCCCTCCAGAATTCGAGGGACTGCTGCAGGGTGAGGCCAATGCCCTTGAGGTAGAGGCCGTACTGCATGCGCCCACCGTGCCGCAGGTGGTGGTGCTCCCGCAGCGCGGAGTGCACCTGGCGCATGCACAGCGGGAAGGAGCGCGCCGCGTGCTGCAAACATGGCGCCGCCGGAGACAAAAGCGGAAACAGACATTGTCACCATCATCGATTACTTCAGGGCCCTTGCAATGGCTTGCCATGTTACGGCGCTACATAATTGTCATCATAATTATCATTTCCCCTCGCACAATGTGGTAAAATGGTTAGTACACTGGATTTGCATTGTGCAATGAACCACACGTGAAAATAAAATTAATAAAACAATTACATTATCAAAATGCTGTGGGCATTTACATGTATGGAAGATGCTTTACTTACAGAGTCTAATTGATCCAGAGAGATCTGCCCAGCATGCTTTGGTGCACTGTAATCCTGACCTATGTAGGACTTGCTGCAGAACACAATCGGACATGCACACACATGCCAAGTAAGTGCATTGGGTACTCGGCCATTCTTACAGCACAAGAGCTATCATAATGACAACCGCCATTCGCTTGTGCCAGGCTGTGTGCACATTAAGGCCTTATCATAATAGTTCACACACACACACACTAGGCCACATGAACATATATCTGTGCAAGCACAATCATGTCCGCAGTCATGTGTGCCTGGCTCACACTGCATAGTAAGAGACCAGAGGGCTCTGCTGAGGCACGCTTCCATCGCACATCACAATCACTTAATGTAAATATTGTGTGAACTGGCTAAAGAAGAAAAAAACCAATCGCACGAGTTGTGGTCAAATATTGACAGTATGATTTGACATTTTGCCAATGCAGAATAACCACTTAATCAAGACATCTTTTTTACTGGATTTACTCTTGCGTTTATATATTATATATGATTTCTTCTCAAGCAAATCAGTAATTAAAGTAATCCTTTAAACATTTCTGGTAAGAACAATTTCTGGTAAGGAGACGTTAGCAGAAACCTGAGTGCGCCAGCCACCTGCGAAGTAGACATTAGCGTGTCCTCAAAATGATGTAGGCGGATATACCGTGTCAAACTCCCAAAGCTCAAAACTGAACGGCGTACAAAGGAATTCTTATGTATTGATGGCTGCGTCTACAACACTGCTCTGAAACAACACATACCAAGCAGTCAGTTTAGTACGCTACGGTTCAGTAACTACTGTAAAACTAGATTTTGCATTTCTAGATTTGCTTGTGATTTTCAGTGGTGTTTTTAAACCTTTCTTGTATTAGTGTTCAAAAAATATTTGTAAACGAGAAGTAAAACAAATAACACTGCAAGCTGTAAATGGGATAAATTTAGTCTTCAGCAAAGCAACAGTGTTTGGTTTCAAAAATGTATATACTGGTGCAAGCCACTACCCTTGAATTAGCCAGGAATTGAGGGCACAGTTGACCTGTTGAAGACACCCAAGTGTGTCAGTCACTTGTGCAGCGGACACCAGGATGTGCCAGCTACCAGTGTGGAAGGCAACCGGATATGCCAGCTACCTCAGGTGGGTGAGAAGAGGCTGCAGTCGCTCATCTTCCTGGACGGAGGGCAGGAGTCGTGCCGTTATCTGAGGCATAGCAGAGAGGACGGCATCACCTGCAGCCCTGAACTCGCCTGGGCCGCCCATTCCACCCCTCATGTCAGGGGCTACAATCTCGTCATCTCATACTTATAAACGCATCACCCAATTTCCAATCACGATGCGTAGAAGAATGTTACCGTCATGTGCTCCGTGTTTTAAAAAATTTTTACTTACAATTTTGTTGTTATTTTTCCCCACCAATTGTATTTCGAATGAACGTTTGCCTTCATATCACAAGATAATTACAATTCCATTCAGAAAACTCAAGTGAGCAGTGCCAGGCAATGACCACTGAAAATTAACAACAAAGAACTACTAGTCAAGTTAATTCAGCAGGACCTCTTTAACCACAATAGGTGGCAAAGCATTAATATTGCCTGCGAACATACATGGCATGGCAATCAAACCAAAAGTCCCGGAGATGGCATCAGCTGAAATAAGCCACAAATACACATTTTATATGATCACAATTTTGTACAGTGACTGGGGAACAGGCTAAAACTATCACCTTGCTATACTCAAAAAGCAAGCTTTATCACAAACGGATGAAAGATTAATTTGAACAGAGCATCTCAGCAGTGCCGGTTTATTACATTTACTGGAGTCTAATGTTCCACAGAGCTGTGTTTGATATAGATTTCACCATTTGACTATTAATATAAAAAAACTGGCCCTTTCAAATACCAGCATTAGGGAAATTCCCTTGAAAAAACAATCAGTCTCTGCCTATTGTCCCACTTGAGGGAATTGTGTAGCCTCAAGTAATTTATCTTCCTAATTTCCTGTAATCCTGAAAAAAAACACGTGCTTGACCTTTGCGAATAAATGCAGCTAACAACATCGAGTATTGCGTCTTTGCTTCTGCCTCAAAGGGAAACTGCAACGCGCTGCAATATCTTTTTAACAGATGCATGCATCCAGTCCCTGTCTTAACCTTGATAACCTGAGCGCCGGACCCATAGATTGTGAGATCTGTAGTTTTACTAAGAATGAAACAGTGTGACCAGAATAATAAGCAAACTGGGACAAACACTGGGGATAAGCACTTACACTCTATCACCTTTGTCACGTGAAAATATATAAACAAGTCATTCAATTTGGACCTAAAAATGTAATTTTGATTCAAGATTGGAATTTTTCGATTAATATAACGTATTAAACTAGCATTACCACAGGCGCTGGAAGCACATCTTATAGGACCCATTTTTATCGTAAAAAATGTAACATTCACACTGGTGTACATTTGGCACGAAGAATCTTAAAACATAATTCCGTATTTGCATTAATAAAAATGTTTACGTCTAATATTGAATTAAATGTTCAGTATTCTCCAAACACATAGAACATTAAATATTAAAATAAGTAAATAGATCAACTAGTAAATACTGCTGATTTGTCTTCAGACAATTTATTTTCCAAGCAATTTTTCCCGTCAGCACTCAGGATGGGCGAACGGGCATCAGGGTCACTGTATGCTTTGTTCATGAAATAAGTCATTCAAATATTAATCAATTGAGTGTTTTTATATATTTTAGTTAATAACTATGTGCAGATGACAATCAACAAGCAGGACAATGTGACAACTACGGACAAAAGACCAAATTGTGACTTGTCAGAATGAAATTATGCTAATGAAGACAGAAGTGCACGAAGGAAGACCAAACATTGTTATTGGCTGTAAATGTGCATAAAAAAATGTTGATCACATTCACTTATTGGCTGATCTGATATTAGGGAAGGAGAAACTGCATGCCTCTCACACCAACATTTAATAACGAATAGTGGATTAAATGCATGACAGATTTCATCAACTAGACTAAGAGAATGACGATAAAATCCACAAACGAAGACGTTTGGACAAACACGCCACGAGCTGCCATCAGTAAAACTGAGACGAAGACTGAAAATAAAAGTGACTAAAATTACACTGGTGATTCAGTGGTCAAGGCGCATGTATCGTAAATTCTGCACAACTCACGGTCAGCGCCCGCGACAGGTTCTGGCGGAAGTCGTTGAGGACAATGGTGACCAGGTCCCTCTGAGGGATAAAGGCCATCCCGCGTCGCACGAACACCTTCCGGCTCCGCACCAGTTCCAGTGCGTCCGTGAACGGCACCTACACATGCAGCAGTACATCATTTACAAGAGTCCAAGTTCAACGTAGCGCAGTCGGTTGATTGATGATCCAACACTCACCGATTCACTCCAGTTGCTCGCTCAACGGCAGTTAGTCACCGCCTTATCACTACTACTGATACTACCATGGTAATTGTTCCCATGTACTTTACTCATTGATTCCCATGTTGAGTACTCGGTCTAGCAGATTGAATGTTTCGTCTCGTCTATATTGTGGTCAACCACCACAGTTCAGGTCACTAATACTTCTCTTGACACTTCTTCCCTTGCACTACTCCAATTTAGAAACTCCTGCCCATCGTCTCTTTTCCCAATCTCTGGTAACGTTTCCGAATTCCAGAATCGTTAACTCTAATCGATTACAACTTTGAGAGTAGTTTGTTGTTGGTCACTTCGCGTTTTGGGCCTGTGCTCAGCAACTGTAAAACAAAAACATCCTCCCAAAGGCAGGAAACACGCTCTCAGCGTGACACAGACGATTATTTTGGTGACATGAACAAGCCTACATGTGGGAACAAAGGTGAGACTTTTTTTACAACTATTTGTGTAATTCAATTAGTCGAGTAATCGACCCGCTAACCAGAAGATTAATCGATGACTTGAAGAATTGGATTTCCCAGCTTAGTATAAATCAAGGATGGGATGTCTGTGGCCCACAACTTAATTTCACACACCCGACAGAATCATGAGGCCTACCAATTTGAAACAGCCCGCGTACGATTTGTATCTGTTACTTAGAGCATCTTAGCCACAGTGAATGTGGATTAGAGGGGAATATTTACTACCTGTAAAAACCCAGCTTTTAATTTTAAGGCACTGACTGAGGTCTGTGTTAAAGTGTGGCCCGCTAAAGGTATTTGAAAATACGTTTCAGCCCTCTGTAAGGAAGAACCCTACTCAAAAGACACATGACAATAGGGCCATGACATAGCCCAGCAGGAGCACTTTCATTGCTTGTTGCAGTGGTTCACGGTTTGAATCCGGCAGACCACCCTGGTTAATACCGCGGGCGTATCAGCCATACGTGGCATCTGCTTTACAGAGGATGTTAAAGACCCTGTGACAGCATTCAAAAAGAGCTTGCCATTGTGTGCCGTCATGGTGCAACATCAAACAAAATAAAAAAAAACCTGCTAAAGTGGCAATAATTGTCCCGACTGGCAGACTAGTGCCCACTTGGCCGGTGTCATCACCGTGCCGCACAGGGATAGCTGCCATTGGGGTGCCCTTTGAATGGTTGACATGAGATGTGACGTAAAGCAGTTTGAGACGCCGAGGCATTTAAGCACCCTATACATGCAAAATTATAACGACTGAAAAGGGCCCTTCTGAAACCATGGCTCATAACATGAGAACTTTAACCATTTTACAAATACAGTGCTCGAATATTCCCCTAGATATAGTGCTTGTACCAAGAATTGGTTTATGCTCCAAAATACATTTTAATCTCTCCGCCAAGGTAAATTAACTTATACTGGTAGGAACCTCATGGTTACACCAGCCTACAGGGGATTATTGTGTCCGTCCATCCGTCGTGCATCCAAAAATGGGAGGGGTAGGGCTGGGTGGAGAGGGGAGGGTGGGGAGGGGCTGGGTGGGGAGGGTGGGGCTGGGTGGGGAGGGGCTGGTCACCCCGTGGTGCCCTTATAAAACTCAACGTTTAACCTACTCACGCCGGCTTGTGCCCGCCCTCACAGTTGGGCATATTTGCGGAAAACACCACGCCGCCGTTGACCATGGCCATTGACCGAGCAACCCAACGTTCCTACCAGCTCCCTCCGCAGGAATGTGTTTAAATGGGTGAGGACATGCTGCACCTTGTAGAACGTGGACTCGTTGACTTTGTGATGACTCATCCCATAGCTGGAAGCGATCAGCTTAAGTTCGTGCTCTTTTATCTCCTCTTTAGACAACTGGATGAGAGGCAAAGACAACAAAATAAAACATATATATTTCTTTCACTTTTAATAGTTTTCAAGTTGTATAGAAATTTTATATTTATATCACTGATAAATAACTGTCATTATTGCCATTAAATAACTGGCAATATCACAATTAAATAATCGATTCTGTTATAAGACAGATAGTTTTTGTGTCGGGACCATCTGAGGTTTGTAAAACAATCTGAATACAAACTGTACTCTACCTTATGAAATGCATAGGCATAATTTAGGTGTGACAGGCTTAAAATGTAAATGTATAGCATCTCTCACTCCTGTCTCGGTCTTGTACAAATCGAAGTCACATGAGCAATGTGGTGGGCCTGTTTCCCTAACATGATGTTTCTGGCGACCAATGGGCTTCAACAACCTTGGCCATTTCAGATTCCGGTCCTCTATCATTTATTCCTTTCTTCACCAAAGAGTGGTTTTATTTAGAAACCAAGGGGAGGAGTGTTTCCCAGTCTGCAGCTTATCATAGTGTCTGGGGAGACACTTAAGTGTAATTTAATCAGGAAATTATGAATGCCATTGATGCCCTCTTTATTTAAACGACTACAGTCGTTGCAGAGTCAACACCTAATGTTCAAAGTCATTCCTAAGTCGCACACTTACACATTTTAAATTAATGGTGTGGATATGAGTGTGTCCCTCCACCATAAGCAGTACTCCCAATTATTTACCATGTCCTAGCATCCCCATTGTCAACTCCTCTTCTCCCCCACACCACCTCCCCTAGCCTCATTCCCTATTGTTTCCCCCCACTGATGCATCGCGTCCTGGGACGCTTTATAATTGCAAAGCATATTGTACAATTGTCTTATATTGTACTGCTCACGGATTCATATGTGAGGTTGTTTTGGTTGAGGAACGAGGTGACCGATTCAGACGTCTGCTGCAGGAAGCGGAACCGAAACAGGTCCATCTCCTGCTGGATGAACCAACGTCGCAAATCCTCTCTGGAACAGAGACGGAACACACCCGCCCAGCATGAGTGCCGACTCGCACAAGAATATCAAACAGTTGCGTTCACATGAACATGCCGCACATTCTGGGTGGCCATGTGATTCAGGTGTCACATACCATATCAACATCACTGAGCCTGAAACCAGCCCTATACCATGACCTTACTTAAAGAGGGTATATAAAAACTCTAGGGGCATGGTGGGGGGGCACACAGCCAATGTTAAACAAACATTAAACGAATCCTGATCGGCTACACAGAATGAGTAACAATATAATCTGCTATCATTCATTCTACTCTAGCTCTCACCATCTTTGTACAAGCTACGACACATCTATCGCTTAATTGCAACCGGTGTTAAATATTTTACTAACATTTTTGGTTCGGCGCCCTCCAGCTCCACCGATGCTATGGGGCTGCCAAAAGCCCCGTAATAATGATTTGAGTTTTTCACTTAATTTAACTTATTTCAGCTGTGAACTAAATTTTTCAGTTCAAGTGACACGTGACAAAATAATGTTTTAGAAGTTGTGCTGTCAACTGCCTGCTCCTGTTCAAGTAGTCCAGGCTCAAGAGTCTTTTGCTCTGCCTATAAGTCTCTTTCTCAAAATAATTAATATGCCCCATTTCCTCAGCATTCCAATGTCGTACTGTTCTGTACAACACCTTGAAATGCGCAAGCATTTATTTGCTATATGAATCTAAATTGTAGAAAAGACCTACTGAAACATAGATTTTAAAATCGGTTCTGTAATGTCATCTTATGAGGCGGCTCTGCAACTGTGGTACACTGCTTACGATAAGAGTTACAAACGTATTTTTTGTTCATCTCGTTACCCGATGCCAACCACAAAACTGAAATGGGGAGGAAAAAAAAGCAACAAAGATATTGTGCGCTTTCAAGTGCATGCCCTTTGACAATTGGTGAGCTCATTTCCAGCTAGAGCAACATGAAACCAAGCGTGTTTCCCATTGCGCACAACAAAAAGGGGCCGTAAATTAACATCTGCATAAAAGGATAAACATCGTCAATATTCAGATGTAGGCAGCGTGGATGTAGAATATTACATTAAAATCAAATTAGGTTGAATTGGAGTGGCTGAGTGTGTGGGTGGGCTTCATACTGCCTGTGTGCAAAGTAGTTGCAGATGAAAGCAAAGCTATGATTACATTTATAATGAGCTGCAATTTAATTAACACAATATGGTAATCTCATTAACATACTTTCATGTAAAGTCAATACTACTGTACATCTAGTATACTATCCCCACGAATTCCCATAACTATAAAAACTTTGGTAGATTTTTAAAATGTAACATTATTCTACATATGTAAGAGTGCTTTTTTACTTTTATTTTACCGGCTGTCAGTGAACTTTTATGAACCATGCTAAAGGATTTTTGGGCACAAAAGCCTGGAATGCGTCGCTAAATGTAGTGCAAAGCATCACTTTAAAACATGTGTAAATATTCACTCCAAATATGTGAACGCACGAAAGACAATATTTAAGTACTGCTGAGATGTGATGGAAATACAGAGTGATTAGTTCATATATATGCAACAAAGATATCAAAGACATTAACTTATCAATCATTAAATAATAGAAACAAATCACACTGGCGATGCAGATGAGAATGCTAAAATATGTAACAAGTGTATTGAGATTGGTGGGTGACATGTAGAGGCTATGAATTAAAATATTGCTGCCTCTATAATAATTAATCATTATTTAAACGTATAAAGCACTGTTAAACAGTCATTCCTAGGGCGTTATTTAAAAATTTGCAACAATGACAATAAAAACATTTTGAAGTTTATAACTCCAGAGTAAATTTACAAATGGCAACAATACAACGGATTGCTCTGAACCTCGGCAATAAATTAGGACCACTAATGGACGATGGATTACGACTGTGCATGTGTAACCCAGGACATAACGCCTGGACCACTGTGCTCTTACGATTGACAGTAGGCAAGACGAAGGATGAAGTGGGAGATGTGGTCCCTTTTTCTTGGTTCTTGGTCATCAACTTCTATTAAAGTAATATTATCCTGCACATCAAACATAATATATGAAAAAAAACACAATACAACTCCTGCATATTGTGACGTTAATTTTTTTTTACTGTTGAAACCATTAATATACTTCAATTAAAATTTCAAAGGTATGGCTTCCTTTTTTTCCCCCCAAATTGTTTTTCAATAATGTTAATGGTACCGTGTTAGTAGACAGATTACAATTCTGTACTCTGCCAGCTAACCTTCAGGCAAGAGAATGGTCCAAGGTGATAATACAGAACTATTTCTCAAGTCCCTTTCATATATTTATCGACAATAGGAGACATACATTTTGTTCCTTTCAAGGTGCTCATCACATCAAACCATTTTTATGCTCAGCGGTAAAATAAAACAAACTAAGTGAAAACCCAAAATTTATGTGTGCTTTTTACGCTGGTGACCATAATGACTTGGTGACGAGGCTGAGATCATCAGGTCATTATATTTGAGAACCCATTTTAATCCCAAATGGATGAACACCAGGATTTTAGCTGTACTAGCTCAGTGGTAATTAACTTCCCGCACAACCTGGCTAATTAAACACACTACATTTTCCACTGACACAAATGAAACAGGGGACGCTGCCATGGTGCAATGGTTAGCACACTGGACTTGTAATCCAGACGTGGGCAGTTCTATTCAATCTCAAGGTGCGGCCAGTTAAACCAAATGGTGAGTTTCTTAAATCCCCTAGTCCCTGCCCACCCAGAAGTTAAAAAAATGGTCACCCCAGTTAGTCAAGCGGCGAGACGTGTATGGTGGGCTAAGTGTGAGTGTTCGCAACTCTTCCAAGACAACTAGCCAGTGTAGGATAGGCCGAATATTTATTGAGCTCCCTCCAGTACAGGAGTGAGCAAGTGAGCAATTAATTAGAGAGCTGAAACTTTACTTTCTTTAGCATTTAAGTGACCAGGCCACCACTTAAAAAAGAAAATCTGCGTATACTTGTGCCTGTAGGACCAAGTGCAAAGTACTCACTCTGTATGGAAACTTTGATTTCTTCAGCTCCTCCTCCAGCTTCTTGTCGTAATTCTCAGTGCCCTTCATGAACAGAACGCCGATCCGCTCCACCGACTTGAGAACTAAAGATTCCACGCAGTCATGTTACCGTCATTGTATGTACCTAATGCAAAAACAGTGCATTAATCATCTCCATCCTGACAACACTACAAATGTAAAGTCCTCACAAGAAAAATGCCTTTGTCCATTTTCATTTGGTAGTTAATAATGGAACATATATTACCAAAAAACAAGTTAAATTCCAGTGCATATATAAGTTGCAAAACATACAAAATAAAGCACGTTATTATACTTGAGTGGGTGACGGTTTGGTGTGGGGATTGGCAAACTGCACTATTAAACTAATGACTTGAATTTAATTCCCAATCACTGTTAATATCATAGTTAAAGTTTTTTTTTTTAACACAGGTGAGAACTCAAGAGACCAGAATAGTCTTATCTGCAAGAGACTTGGGTCACCAAAGTGACAAAATTAGAACAGATAAAGTACGACAACAAATCTTGATTTGAAGCTTTTCGTGACTGCAGGAATCCATACTCCTTGGTTCTTTTGGTAAAGTCACACAGGTAGAAAAATAAAATAAAAAATAATATATCACGACGTTTCGATCGCAACACAAGCGGTCGTCCTCAGGCGGAAAAAGATAATCCAGCAGTGGAACTACTGAACCAGCGAGAGAGCTGTTACAAGAAGAGGTTATATACGTCACATATGCCACATAAATAACAGACTTCTCTATATATGCCACATATATAACCGACGTCTTTATATATGCCACATATATAACCGACTTCTCTCTATATATGCCACATATATAACCGACTTCTCTCTATATATGCCACATAAATAACAGACTTATTTATATATGCCACATAAATAACCGACGTCTCTATATATGCCACATAAATAACCGACGTCTCTATATATGCCACATATATAACCGACTTCTCTCTATATATGCCACATAAATATCAGACTTCTTTATATATGCCACATAAATAACCGACGTCTCTATATATGCCACATAAATATCAGACTTCTCTCTATATATGCCACGTAAATAACCGACGTCTCTATATATGCCACATATATAACCGACTTTATATATGCCACATAAATAACCGACGTCTCTATATATGCCACATATATAACCGACTTTATATATGCCACATATATAACCGACTTCTCTCTATATATGCCACATATATAACCGATTTTTCTCTATATATGCCACATATATAACCAACTTCTCTCTATATATGCCACATAAATATCAGACTTCTCTCTATATATGCCACATAAACAACCGACGTCTCTATATATGCCACATAAATATCAGACTTCTCTCTATATATGCCACATAAATATCAGACTTCTCTCTATATATGCCACATATATAACCTCTTGTAACAGCTCTCTCGCTGGTTCAGCAGTACCACTGCTGGATTATTTTTTCCGCCTGAGGACGACCGCTTGTATTGCGATCGAAACGTCGTAATATATTATTTTTATTTTATTTTTCTACCTGCGTAAAAGAACCAAGGAGAATGACAACAAAGCCAACAGAAATCAGAGAAAAAAAAACTAGTAAATATTGAACGCACGTAAATTAATGTTAAATAAAGTCCCTGTCGTGCAAGACGGTTGGGGAACATTAATTATAGACCGTTTGTCCTGTTTCTTCACCTGAGGACGGCTACTTGTGTTGTGGCCGAAACGTCGTGAGAATTTTAGTGTTTTTTTATTTTATTCTCATTCTACGTGACTTTACCGAAAGAACCAAAGAAGAATTACAATTGAGTTACCAAACATTAAACATATAGTGTATAGGGTGACTATTATATGAATGAGTGACATCCGAACCAAATCTGGCCTGGATCATCAAATCTCCCATGGCTGACATGGCATGGGGAGGCATTCATCCAGTAGTCCACTCGCAAAGTGCTGTCAATTATTTAGATTACTTATGTCTACTGAAGTGAACAAAAAAATCAATATATTTATCAATAACATTGCCTTAAAATAAAAACTATATAATCAGCGATGTTTAGGGAAATGGTCCTTCCATATAGGGCTTAAGAAAGCTTAATTTGAATGTAGTCCCATTGAGTTCTCACCTGGATACATATGTAATGAATTTAACAGTCAAATTACTTTTCCAATCGAAATTCACTCAAAGGCATATCCTCGTTCATGAATGCAGCTCGAGGCCAGAGAGGTGCAATTGTACCATCTAGTGAGGGCTTCTGGTACTGCTAGAGAAGTCGATATCTTTTCATGTACACAAAAAAAAACCTCAAACAGTTGTCAATAACATAACGCCGAAAAGAACGAGTGTATAATAGGAGACGTGGGACCTTTGTACCAGTATCAAAGTATGAATAAATAATAATGTTTTACCCTTTCTGGAAATAAAAACAAGCGTTGAGATGTTCAAACACCAAATAGAAATGTTGCAAGGAATCACGTTTGCATTAACCACACGTACTTGTTGTGAACATGAAAACAAACATGCTCTGACAGATGTTTGAACAAATTAACACCTGTTTCATTGCCAGAATGGGTAAAACCTATTTTTACTTTTTCATAATAGTAGACGTCTCGGGCAATGCCTTCCCCCCACCACCACCACTACAACACACAGATAACCCAGTGGCAGTCCTCACGGTGATAGTAATTGTGGCGACGATCATGGCCTAGTGGTGGTGTCACCAAAAATGTGACGGGTCGCTTTGAGCCCAATAATGACAGTGATATTGATCACACCCGTGATCAATCACTGTACCACGATCGTGATAATGCTTATTATCCACACGACCATTATCGTGATCGTCGTGGTAATTATGATCCTGAACGCAGTGGCAATCAGTGACGACGACGACGATGATGATGTTCAGAGTGGTGATCGTGGTGGTGTTCATGGTGAATCAACCGTTATCACCGCTACGATCACGATGACCAGGGTGGTGATCACGATCATCAAACCAGAACCACTGCCACGATCACCACCACGATGATGATTATGATCGTGGGGATCGTGGCGATGATCGCGAAGCTCCTCACGCCGCAGTCTCTGGACGGCGAGGGCTTCGAATTCGACGAGGGAGACGGATCCGAGAGGCGGCCGCAAGTAGAGCTGCAGGACGTGAGGGTACCGCTGTTCCTCATCGCCAGACCCCACCGCCTTCGCCTCTTGCTTCTTCCCAGCGGTCGACAGCAGCATGGCTCGGCTCTCCCCCCCCCCTCCCACCACCACCACTCGCTGCCTTGGAGACACAACAACAATAATACTCATCATAGCCAAACAACAACTGCAATACAGCAGGAGACCTATCTCCTCCCGCCAGTTCTTTATCATCATCAGTCTCAACAGCAGCAGTAACAATCGCGCCGCTGACCAACCTGGCTGGCTGCGTTACACAGTGTGTGACGAGTTCACGTGGAGCCCCGGGTGCGTTCTCGTCGCTCTAATTTTTTTAACTGTGAGGTAATTATCGTGAATATCTGAGTGTGTAAAGTTGTTATAGACGCGGTTAATGGTGGTGGTGATGGCGACGGCGGAAGACAGAAATTTCCCGCCAAATCTGTCAGGCAGTGGAGCGCGGTGACGTCATTTCCTGGTTTGCGCGCCACCTTGTGGTGACGTAATTGCTTGCCTTGGTCATGACCGCTTCGCTTCGGTTTACGCTGACGTCATTTTTAAACTGTATAATGACATCATCGTTTAGGTTGTACTACGACACTGTATTGTACGTTTTACATTTTAGATTGGCAAATAACGTCATTATTTAGCTTGTTAAATACGTAATACATATTCTTAGTTTTTTCTGCAGTCTGCAATTACTGCAGTCACGAAAGCTTTAAATCAAAATACGTAATAGTTTAGCATAGAAATGTTATTCGATTGATCATGACGTCATATGGTTAGATTCGTAATGACGTGTTGTCATTCCATTGACATTTCGTAAATGTACTGGGAGGTTGTTACATTACAAAGTTAAATGTTGATTAATAAGTGTGATTTTGACAGCCATCGTTACCGCAATGGTTAGCAATATTAATATCGTGCTTAACATTACTTATTGAAAGGGATTTTTTTTTTTTACCTCAGTTGGAAGTTGTAGCAGTTGTACGTTAAACTCGCATAATCGTAACTCTGATCTGATCATAATTCACTTGATCGCCATGGTTATCTATAATCTCCGTCATGGTTAACAAAGCTACGATTGAACGCCACAATAATCGATACCAAAAACAAATAATTGGCCCTCCACTTTAACAAAAAAAAACCTGTTTTACAGATCCCCTCAGCCACACGGCCTTCTAGGAGTGAATTATTTCATCAACGTAATGGATATTTTTGTATCATTAACATTGGACCCGTAACGGTGCACCGTCTATAGATTGCAATCGATTATCCATTCTCTTCTCTTTCAATGTTGGTGACTATAGCGGCCTCTAGTGGCAGTAGGGGGGACGTGCAACGTATGGAAATAGCACCGTAATCGATACGAAACACGATTTGTTGCATGGGTTATGCGAATAAGAATGATTATGGACGATTAATCGATGTATCAATAGTTGATGCTCAGCACGTATCGATACCGCGGTCGTTTCCACAATAATCCATCATTAATACAGCCAGTCAACACGTTAAGGTTTGGGCAAAGTTGACGCAACGTTCACCCAATGTTCCACGTTTACTAGGCAGTCACCATAAACATTGATATCGCCAATGTTACCATCGTTATCATAAGAAGCGGCATCAATACTCGGGAAATTAACTTCAGATTATATTATTGGGTCTTTCTGTAAAGTCACGTAGATAGGTTAGACGTGACTTTACCGAAAGACCCAAGAATATGAATTCCTGCAGTCACGAAAGCTTTAAGTCAAGATTAAACTTCAAATTATCTTGATCACATCCATTATTATTATTAGCATCAACAGCACCAACACCATTGTCGTCAGAAATATAATAATCATCACGACCATCATGAACGCATCACCATCAACACAATCATCATCACCAGTGCCATAATGGTCAATGTCACAACCATTATCAGCGCATAATTAACAACACACCACCATCATCATCACCAGTCCCACCATGATCATCATCATCAACGTTATAATGTGGATCAGCTCTGTATAAAAATGTTAGCAAACGAACGTAAGAGTCAACCAGAGCAAAGAAACCACAGATCGTTGCCTCCTTCGTTTTACCAACATGCATCAGATTGACAAAACACTTGTGAAAGTCTTTATCCAGCCGTAGAGAGAACATGACCCTTTTGAATCACTCCTGACAATGTAGACAGTATCGTGAACGTTGCATTCTGACGATATTATTATAGTCGAGTTTGATATGGGGGGAGAGAACAATAATTGTTTGGATTGGAATTTGCATTATTATTTTTTTTGTGAGCCCTTGATTGTGCCAAATTATCACTGCAATTAAAGGCCTTTTGTCTATCACAGCACTGCAATCCAGCAATTAAACGGCTATTAATATAATTGCCGCTATGAGGGGTGGGGTGGACAGGAAGGTATTGTGTCGCGATTTAAAATAAATACCACGCAATAATACAATTCAAATGAATCTCCAGAATTCAGTGTACACGTGCGCAATATCGTGTACCATGCGCTCATCACGACATGGAAATGTCACGGGGGGGGGGGGGGGATGGACAAACAACAATAATTAGAATAAAGCACAGTACAACGTCGCATATCTGACTTCCTTGGGAGATTAGGGTGGGGAGGGGGGGTCTTGAGGCATAGTCGGATAAGTGAAAAGGTCGGATATGTGAACATCGAATTATTATTAACTGGGTCAACACCACGCGCAAATTTTGCACTCCACATTAGTCACGCTGCGTTCCACAACTTGTTGTGGAAGACACTGAGACGAGGCGCAACTATGCGTGTGATGTACACAGAATACAAACTCCACACGCTCGACAAGAAACACTGCAATTAAAACAAAATGCGTATGGTTAGACGACGTTTCGGGCAATGACCCGGAATGATTTTTTATTTTTTTCTGGCCGTTCTGCGTAGTGAGCGCTGGTGATCACGTGCAGGTCAGTCGTAGGTGTTGTTCTGTCTGCCATGAAGAAGGATCGCTATCCGAAACGTCAGCTATTATGTTTTAATTTTAGGGCAGTGTTGTTGACGAATGTAGCGAGTTGGTGTTTTTTTTCGTTGTTTTCGCTAAGACTACCGTACTATTCTTACAACTAATGAATGCCTCGAGTTTCCTGGCTGGCTTCTGGCTGGGCTCCTTTCCACCGCAACACAATAACTTTACTGCGAGTGGCTGCCACCGAAAGCTGCGGAAGAAATTCGGAAGACGTGATGATAAGCGACACACGAAGAGGTGACGGACTACAGAAGGCTGACAACGGTCCGTTTAAAATTGATGGAACTCTTCAATGTGCTGCTCTTGTTCATGCAATTCTATCGCAAACGATATTCTTTCGATCCTAGAGAACATCAAAATTAACTCTGAGTACATACTATCTTGCAATTGTATTATTACATAAAATATATATCGTCAGTGCTCCTAGTACAGAAGAGTATGCAAATGACAGCTGTGCATTCTCGACTTAGCGATTGTAAAAAGACGTAACGCTGATGAAATTCACCGAAGCAGCAAGGCAGCGTGGGCAGACAGTGTAACCCCCATCGAATGGCCTGCTCCTCCTCCTCCTCACCCACACACCGGCTCCCTCCCCTCCCTCTCCTCCTCCTCCACGTTTCCACTTAGCAACCAGGCAACAAAGAACGCTTCGCAGTCCACACACACACACACCGCTTCAGCACACACACTCACAAGACACACACGCACATAGAGACACGGCCGAGGCGCTGGCACACAACACAAGTGGGGCTTTCCTACAACCTGGAGAGAGCTGGTCGCGTCCAGGTCAGTCGTGGTGGGTTGGTGGTTGGTGGTGGTGGTGATGATGATGATGGGTGGAGGTAGCTTTTCAGATGCAGGTCAACTTGTCCTATTGAGGATATGCGTGATGGATGGTGTGGATAAAACGTACACACACGCGGGCCCTAGACGGTCTTGTTGAGGTGACCGGGTGGATTGTTAAAGGAGGCCCGGGTCGACTGGTTATTGGGTATGAAGTCACGCAGAAATGCTGACATTTGCAAGTTGCGGTGTATTACGGTAGGGATGCCGATGAGCCGAACAACACGCATTGCTACGTGCTTCAATGTGGGTTAATTCATTTCGCTGGCAATGTGGGTCAGCCAGACTTGCTGCATGTCATGACGATGGTGGTTAATATAATGTATCCATTGCCTCAACACTCTTTTACAAGAGGATCCTGCCTCGGTATACTTGGCCGATTTTCTTGTAAGTTTGTTTACGCTTCGTGTGTTGTGGGCGGAAACCCGGAGAATACCAGCTCATCAACACGAAGGCGTTAACGCTCAGAGCTACGCTATATACAGATGGCTCCATCAACCCACTTGCTCCCGACTACCTCGCGGCAACCCAAGCGGGAGGTGGGGGAGTTTCACGTCAATCTCTGCGTGATCCACCAACCCCTACCTCCAAAGCGCTGGATCGCAGGCGTGTGATGTGACCACCACGCAGTGCGTTTGACACGTAAGCATGGTTACTGACAGCGCTGCCAAGAGGTCCACGGATAAGGCGTGTGGCGAGGTTAGGGTTAGGGATAGATGTCCCAAGTTCAGTGAGGGGTGGGGTGGTGTCGCTGGGGCGTGATGTTATGGGATTTAGAGCAGCGGTTCTTGACCTGGGGTAAATAATCGAAATACAAATTAATCACGGGCACGTAAGTACAACTACTTTGTTTAATCAGACATATGTATTTATTCATATAATATATGTTTTTGAATGATTGAGAACCAAAGGGGTGAAAGGCTGCAGTAAAGGTTAAGAACCACTGGTGTAGAGTAGCCGTGCGTCGATTCGTCGATTAATATTGTCGGTTCTGAAGTTTACAATACGTGACGCAGATTTGTAGATTAACATTGTTCCTTAAACTCGTGGCATTCTTGCGTGTGGCGGCGATATGTGCAGGAGCCAAATGCCAACTTAGAGGTCTGCTAGCCTCGACGAGACGGCTTCAGGAGAGAGGTCGTGTAGTCTTGCTAAGCTCATGATATATGCGTAGGAAAGACTCAACGCATTGATCAATGAATCTGCCTTAAATGGATGCCCTAATAAATAAGTTTGATTTATGTGCTATGAAGAAGGGTCATTGCCAGAAACGTCGTCTATTATATAGTTTACCTTTTAAGGCACTTAAACAGCACAACACAGAAGCTCACTGTTCTGGAAATTAATCTACGTTCCAGTACAGCACGCATTCCTGACATAGCACGCCATGAGTGTGTGCTGTGAGCCCAATAGCACCTTAATTATGGGCTCACAGCACACACCCATGGCACATATTACATAACACAAACGCGCGCTGGATCAACATCTCATTCGAGATACAAATATCGCACACCTCATGGCTTTGACAATCCTCCTCCTCAAAGACACTGGTTGGTATAAACATTGACCGCATCAGAACATCAATTGGCCGATCTGCAACATGTCCTTAATGAATGGAAGATTAAAGACACAGGCCACGGCAGTGCGATTGTGGTCATGCAAACTAAACTGTGGACCATATTGTTAAACCACTGCAGTCTGCGCTCTTTCAACGGAGGAGGAACAGTAAAACGACATGAATGTTCTGTCCAGAAGCCCTCTCGTCGTGGCTAGCAGACCTCTACAATGGCATTTAGCTCCTGAACAAATTACCGTACGGAAGGATAGACGAAAACAAACGCACACGCGGGATCACTAACAATAAAACATATCCTTAATCAGCTTTAAAGCACTTAAGACGAAGGATGGAATACAGATAATTTATTCCAACGGCAGCTTTAGTGATAATCCTAACGGACACCAAATAAACACCAGCCTGATTATTGAGTCCTATTTATGAAGTGTATCGAAATAAAATGAACAGACCATATGCCCCCTTTGCAGATTTGTCACGCCACCTAAAAAAATAAACAGTATTTGTTTTACACATCCCAGCAGCCACACGACCTTATTTCTGGGAGCGCATACTTTTTTTTTTACCAACGTTCACTCGGACGTTATTATTTAACTGGCAAGGCCCTATTCAGCGAAACAGCTCTTTTACAAGACCACAGCCCAATACCGTCCTTACACGTGCAAACTCTGGAGCGGTTTCCCCAATCGGTGTCTCATCAGCAGCGTCAGGCTCGCTTGAGCTACACAGCATGACTGCGAACACACCATTGGTTCTCAATTTAATTGTAAAGTCACCCCCCCCCCCCACCAAACCAAGACCACTGGTCTCTGCCCCGCTACCCCCCGACTTATTCCCTTGCCCCATCCCCCCTAGGTTACTAAGGCCACAGTGCAAGAGAGATCAAATGTCCATGCCCCCGTTCTACGCGGTATTCATAAGGCATTAGTTTCATGTTTCACGCTGCGTGTTCGCGCCTTTTTGTCGCCGCAACGATGACGTTCCCACCCCGGGGCGCACGTTCGAAATGTTTTCTGCACGGTGTCCATGCCGCAGGCTGCCAACTTGTCCTCGGCAGGGGTTTGACACCGTCTTGCCTGCCATACCTAAACCGATAGCTAAGGGCGCCGCGGTGGCGAGATGTTAACTACCTCGCCTGGTATGTAGAACCTCGTGGGTTCGATCCCAACCCTAAAGATTCCTGTATATTTGGAGTTTAAATAGCTCTCTCCCCGTGGTCGCGTGGATTTTTCTCTGGGTTCTCCGGGTTTTCCCTACGCATTTAGAAGCGTGCGTTGAACGTATTTGGCCGCTATAATTTTCCACATGATGATAAACCACTTCGTTGAGCTATCATCATTCGTGGCCAGGTCGCTTCTGAAAAAAAAGCTATAAAGCTCAGTGGGTGGGCCTTACCTGGTAAAATAAAAAAAAGTTTCTAGTTTTAGAGAAGTTAAAACCCATCAGCAGGTGGCGCTAGCCGGCAGCGGAAATGCGGCGAGCAGCACCGAGCCCCGCTCATTGTCATGCAAATTGCGCCAATTGTGATCCAAGATAGCGCATCCCTGGACCGCAAATTAAAAAAAAATACTCACGGCCCTCGTTAAAAACGCAGCGCTCCGCCTGACGAAGAGACGAAGGCATTGGTTGGTTGCGGCAATTCGGCGAACCCACACGCACCATGGGCTGCTGTGTGCAGTCGTCACGATCCCGCGGCGGCTGCGAGACCCGACCGGCCCGAGTTCGATTCCAACCAAGGCCACGGCTGACAACAGTGGCGAGTGGTGGCTCGACTTTCCCAGTGTCGACCAACCCTTAAATAAGGACAGTACTGTGTGCCTGGTGTCGCGGCCCCTTCTTCAAAAGTAGTCACTGCAGAAGGACCGCTATCCGAAACGTTAGCATTTTGTGCTGCACGTGTCTGCGATGAGGCAGCGTTAAGGAAGGGCCTCCACTAGAGGGAGCTCTTGGCACCACCTACACAGGATATTACCCCACCTCTTCAATCTTGACACCACCTACACAGGATATTACCCCACCTCTTCAATTTTGACACCACCTACACAGGATATTACCCCACCTCTTCAATCTTGCTACCACTACACAGGATATTATCCCACCTCTTTAATCTTGACACCACCTACACAGGATATTACCCCACCTCTTCAATCTTGACACCACCTACACAGAATATTACCCCACCTCTTCAATCTTGACACCACCTACACAGGATATTACCCCACCTCTTCAATCCTGGCCAGACGTCTTGGAAGAAGAAGTGGGATGTACCCACATGTTGCCCCACCATACGCGACCTGCCGATAGAGTAACTGCGATGTGCTCAGTCATATTGCTGGGTTGGCAGAGCAATTCTGAATTTAAAAAAAGTAAGAATTTGATCACTGCTGGATGGAGGCGGAGTGCCTCCGTGCACCAGGTTAGTCATTGGGTTGTTTCACCATACTTCACCACTCTGGTCAATGAGGGTGGGGGGTGGGATTGCAGGACTGGTTCAAATTTCACTCGCTACTGATGGTAGCAGTGGTCGGGATATCGAACTTGTGCCCCGGGTCTTTCGTGCGCTAACCGGTGCGCCACCACTCCACCCAGCCCGTGCGTGTTTAATAACGCCGTGCGCTCCGGTCCAAATAAAAAAAATTTGTTCATCAGCGGAATGTGCCCACGCTACGGGACTGAGTGCGATGCACTAAAACCACAGCGCCACCCGACAAGGCTCACTGAGCTATTATAGCTCTTTTTCAGAAGCGACCTGGCCACAAATGATAGCTCAACGAAGTGGCTGATCGCCGCCACTTTTGTAAATGTGCAGGGGGAAAAAATTCCCGGCGTACCCGGAGAAAAATCCACGCGACCACGAGGGTAAGAGAGACGTGCAAATTCCAAATATTCAGGCGTTAGGGTCGGGATCGAATCCACGACTTCCTGCATACTTAAGCGAGCGAGTTAACATCTCGCCCCAAGTCAATCAAATCTCCACGCTAATTGTACGAGATGAGCGCATTAAACGGGGGGGGGGGGGGGGGTAGGAGCAGGGAGGGGGCTCGAAGAACACGCGAGCGCAATTAGCGATAGCGTTCAATGTTAGACAGAGAGAGAAGCGTGCACGCGTTAACTCGCGTGGCCTGTCAGGGCTCACGGTGAACGCCGGCTTGATGATCAGTGCGCGGTACTGACGGGCGATAGCGCCGCAAGGCATTAAAGGAAAGCAAAGCGACAGCCGAGGAGCCGCCAAGTAGCTCAAGGCGTCGTTGAACACAACCAAGAGCGGGCGATGGCCCCAAACGTCAGCTCGAATCCGGTGGCTAATGAACGTCAAAGAGCCAAATAACGTAACACAGCCAAAGCAAAGTTCTCATCTCTGGCGTGCCTGCAGCTCCGTTTCATCTCCATTGTCTGCTGATTGAAGTTTTGAAGGGCACGTGGGTGTTGGGCGGGAAGGATGTCCGATGGTCGTCGAGAGTAGTGGCAGCAGTCAACGCGTCTGAGAGAGGGGGCGGCGGGGAACGTACAGCGCAGAGATGGAGCGATGATGGTAAGATTAAAATGGTTTCGTTTTATTCGTATTTTAAAAAAGGTGATTTGTTCACCGTAATCCATACTTAGCGCTCCCGTCGTGTTTCTGTATTATTTTGCGTTATAACGTCCTGACCCGTCCTTACTGGACATATGTGTAAAAATGCTTTATAGCTCATCGGATTCCTCAATTATAAATAAATGTTCTGATTCTGAGAAGCATTGTAGATGCACCGGCTCAAATATTCTCCACTGTTATGGGTCACTGAGCGGGAACCGAATTCGGGTCCGCAGCACAGTGCGCTAACCACTGCGCCACCGCTCCCCACACACAGTCACACAAAAAGACAAAGATCCCACGTATAGCTTTGACAGACCGTCGGGGTAAATGCTGTTACGCACCAAGGCACCCATCGAGACAGACGCGCAGAGACGTCCGCACACGCACGCACCGACGCTCTCCAGGGCTGACTCAGCGAAATTAATAACCGGTGGTTATTCACGTGGGCGAGCCGAGTTTTAACAAAGGGGCGCATCCATCTCTGTCCACAAAAGGTTGGGTGAATGCAGCTGCTTTCTTCCCTCCGCGCGACACGACCCCATCCAAGCCAGCCAAACGCTCGCTCCCGCACACGCACTGGGGGTGATGGTGATTATGGCGATGATGCAGACAGACGTACGATCAGTTTGCTACCAGCTGCCTTCGTCCGCTGCATAATACAAATTATGAGTCATCAGCAAGTCCTCGTGTGTGGTGCGTGTGTCCGTGTGTGTGTGAGTGGTAGTGCAGCGGTTAGCGGTACGCTGCGCTACGAACCCGGCCACCCGAGTTCGATTCCCGCTCACGGCCGACACCGGTGACGATTATATCTGAACCGGTACTGGGCCCCCACCTAGGTCGACTCAGCTTCAAATGAGACCCTGGTGCGTTGTGTAAACATTGCCACGAGGGAGACACAGGCGGCCGGGCGTGGTGCTGGCAACCCACCCCCCGTGTGCTTGTGTTGGCCTTCGTAGATGCTCGCTCACAGCACTTGCTCCAAAAGGGCCTGTACAGATTAGATTATAGGGTGGGATCTTTGCCTTTGTACGTGGGGGGGAGGGGGGCGGGAGTGGTTAGCGCACGTCACTGAATGCCTGCTAACATCAGTGGCGAGTGACATTGAAATTTAAATCAGGATCTCAACCTCAAACATTTGTTGAGCTTCTTTCGCACCGTCCGTAGCCAACCGTGCTCATCGGAGGTGCGAGTACCTAGTGCGGTGTGCAATCATCGCCACTGGAGGAGGCTACATCGGCCGGGCGTGGTTGATAAGCCACATCAGCCCCTTGTGCGCCGGTGGCGGCCTTCGTACAGGTGCTCGCTAACAGCACCTGCCTCAATAGTCTGTTAAAGGCTGTGACGAGGCACCTTTGCGTGTCCGTGTACACACACACACCCACGTGGCGTGTACTAAGCCGTGTCCCGTTAGTCACACGGGGGGACGAGTGTTTAATGAGCACCACGGTGTGAGTCACGTTCGTGGGGACGAACTCCTCTCACCCCCCACCTACCCACCCGCATACCCCCCCCGCCCCCCCTCTTGCTGGGATCCCCCCCTGCCCTTCCCCCCACTACCCACCCCCACCACAAACCACCTCCATTATTCAGCGACGGGATATGAAAAGCTCACATTCCTCCAATTTAAATTGCATTTTTAATAAAGGTCACTTGGGAATCCAGCAAGGAATGCGTCAAGTGTGAGAAGTTGCTTCCGGGAGGGCGGCTTGCCCAGAGCGTCGGCTGAATGAGCGGGAGAGGCCAGCTTTTAACAACGTGACGCCCGTGCTCTGTGCGTGTGTTCTTGTGTTTAACACGTATCAAAGTAGGCTTTCGTGAGCAATATTATCCATGAAAGTCACGTCGTTAGAAATAAAATAAAATAAAAACAAATTACGACGTTTCGATTTCAACACAAGAAATCATCATCAGGTGGGAAAACCACAGCAAGAAACACTATTTTGCTGTGGTTTCCCACCTGATGATGATTGCTTGTGTTGAAATCGAAACGTCGTGATTTATTTTCTAACTACGTGACTTTACCGAAAGAACCAAAGAGTATGGATTCTTGCAGTCACGAAAGCTTCAAATCAAGATTATTATCCATTAAAGTTTTTTTTTAGTTTGGGTTGGATCGCCTAAATTTAAATGCGTCGTTAAAAACCCCGCCACCAAACCGACGCAGCCAATTAGTGAGTGCGTCACGTGCTACAAAACGTGCCAAATTTTGTTACTGCACAATTACTCTCCAGCACACCGGCGTGCTGAACCGGTAACTGATTGGCACCTTTTGTTTACGTTGACAAACTCCGTGACTAATTGACGGTGTCGGGTGGCGTCGGGTTTTGACGACACATTTATATTTACGCGATCTCGACGTTCTCGTGTTGCCCCGCAGGACGCGATCACTTGCTGCCCATCCCGATCCCGTGCCGGCGAGTGAAGAGGAATACCCAGCCCTTGGCTCCCACATCCCGTCTGCGAGCTCGGACAAGGGACGAGCGTCTCTGCTTCTGGATCGCACTCCGATCCAGATACCGGCCCTCCCCGCCTCCTCCGCCTCCTCGATCGCCTTCGTTGCTTCGAACGGACGGGCGGTCTTTTATTTGAATCGGAAGTTTTTTTTCGGGGTAATCGATCAGGGAGAAGTACATAAGTTTGTTTATAGCCCCTTCAAGCAAAGTAAACAACAAAAACAACACAAACCAACCCTCTTTGCGAGCGGGATAGAACACGTGTGCCTTTGTGCAGTATGCGCATCCCTAAAATATGTTTGATCAATGAATGCGTTTGTAAGGATGCGGTGAATATTTTATCTGACGGCAGTAGGGTTGGGGGGCGAAGTTAGATCTACGCGAGACAGTTTTCATCCAAGCGCGCGCGGGCACAAATCAGGTCGCGGCTTTCAAAAACGATTCCAAAGTTTCAGAGAGTGCGCACGCGCGGTGCCAACACCGGCTACTTTTGAGAGAATAAAAAAATCAACTTTCACGTTCACGAACATCAACTTGGTTGCGTATCTAAATGATAAAAACAAACAAAGCAGGTGCAGTTTGATTCAAATCGACGTCTTCGCCTTGCGCATGGCCGCGTTTCAATATCGCCTCTTGTCGCCACGAGTCGCCATCTGGTGACGCCGAGTGCAGAACGCCGTCCACTTGATCCCCCATCGAAAGATCCAAGCTGCGCGAACTCTCCGATTCCCGTTCGTGGACACTCGGTGAGTACTCGAGAGTGGCACACCGGTCGGTGGTGACCGCATCTCGTCCCGGCATCCCAGAACCTGGTATCATGCAGATTCACGGTCTCATAGCTCCATCCCAGGTTCACATCCAGAGGCCCGGCTAGCCCCAGAGAAAGCGCCGAATAAGCCGTCGCATCCCAGCAGCTACGCTCTGGACCGAATCCCAAAAGTCTTCACACGCGGCGGGCCCTTAAGCGTGACAGGAGTGGCCGCCGGCCAGGAGGTCCGACCTGGTGGGTCGGTTACAGGGTCGGTCAAGCCCAGGCGGAGGAGATAGGCTGAGCGAGACGAGTGGCCATGCAGGAGGAGGACATCGAAGTGGCTATCAAGGTGGTGGTGGTCGGGAACGGATCGGTGGGGAAGTCCAGCATGATCCAGCGCTACTGTAAGGGCGTCTTCACCCGGGACTACAAGAAGACCATCGGGGTGGACTTCTTGGAGAGGGAACTCCGGTGAGTCACCCCCCCCCTCCCCGCGGGTTTGTCACCGTGTCACCGTTTTCCCAGGGAACCGTCCCCGTTTTTGAGGTTAGCTCCTGTCCTTGGGGAACGTCTGTACGTCTTCCCGGGATTTTAGAAGTCCCAGATTTTGTCAATCGTTTAACAACGTCTCTGTGTTTCTTTTTTTCCGTACAATGGCAATTTGTTCAGGAGCAAAATGTCAATGTCGAGGTCTGCTAGCCACGACGAGAGGGCTTCTGGAGAGAGTTCGTGTAGTTTTGTTCCTCCGTTAAAGATGCGCAGAATACAGCGGGTTTACTATATGGACCATAGCTTGGATTGCATGGCCACAATCACACTCCTGTGGCTTTTCTTTAATAGATCTCAATGGGTCTCTGTAACTCTACGCGCCTCTATGGATATCGACGTGTCTGTATGTGTTGGCGTATCTCGGCGTGTTTCTATGGGTTTACTGTGTGGTCCACAGTTTGGGTTGCACGGCCACAACCGCCCTCCTCTTGCTTGTCTTTAAGTTTCCGTTCACGATGGAGGTGTGCGCATCGGCCTGTTGATGTTGATGCGTAGTAGTAATAAATAATAAACCATGAAACTAAACCATGTTTTATCTTACTAGGTAAGGACCACTGAGCTATGTAGCTCTTTTTCAGAAGCGACCTGGCCACAAATGATAGCTCAACGAAGCGGCTTATCACGTGGAAAGTTATTGGAGCCAAATACTACAACCGCATGTTTACAACTGTGGAGGGAAAAAAACCGGAGGGCCGGGAGAAAAATCCACGTGACCATGGGGAGAGAGACACGCAAACTCCAAATACACAGCAGGCGTCAGGGTTGTGATCGAACCCATGACCTCCTGTATGCCAGGCGAGGCAGTTAACATCTCACCACCATGGCGCCGATCCCGGAAAAAAATATAACACGCCACTCAAAGGCACGTCGCTCTCCCCTCTCGTGGTATTGTGAGATTTTATTTTTCTTCCCATGGCGTGTACCAGTTTGGTTTTGTGCCTCCAACGCTGACAATGCCTCGTGGCACCACTCCTCCTTACCCGATCCCGGGCCTTTCGCGCCAGGGATTCATCTCAGCCGAGCAGGCCCTCTCCGGATCAGCGACCATGGCTTCCCTGTCTCTGCGCCCCTGGCTGTTGCTTCTCGCATCCCCCCCGACACCCCAGCCTATACCGGCCACCTGGAGAAATATTCAGCGACAAATTCATCCCCGATCTCCATAAGTCTCACGATCCTGCAATGTAACGAAAAAATTGCGACAAAGATCCTCCGTGTAGCCTTGGCAGTTGGCGGCAGGTGCTGTTAGCGAGTATTAGCTACGAAGGCCGGTGTGGGTGGCCTTTGTCTCCCTAGTGGCGACGTTCACACATCGCACCAGGTGCTCATTTGAGGCTGAGTCGACCTAGGGGAGGCCCAAGACCAGCAACATAGCACCTGCATGCAAGCTGACTTCATTGCTCCGCTCCATCCCCCTGCTGCTTGATTGTCCTCTCGGACCAGCATTGATTCTTCGGCTGTCACTCCGTCGCTAATGTTCGACCGCAGTAGATTGTCCCTTCTCACCCTGTCATGTCCTGCCCACGCTCACTAATGAGCGTGGGCAACGCCATTAACCCGTGAACACTCTGTTCTCCTACAACGCGGTAGTTGCGTTCCTGAACACCGCGTTATGGGGGAAAAAAAACCCGTTCCAATAATATACTATTCTTTGGGTCTTTTGGTAAAGCCACGTAGACAGAAAAAGATGACTACCTTTTCCTCAAGACGACCGTTTGTGTTGCGATCGAAACGTCGATATTTTTTGTTATTTTTTCTGTCTACGTGGCTTTACCGAAAGACCCAAAGAATATGAATTCCTGCAGTCACGAAAACTTTAAGTCAAGATTTAATATATATATTCTATCGGATAAAGCACAGTCCGCGATAACACGGTGAGACGCGTACGCAGACTGAAGAAAGACTGAGGCGCGTGGGTAGCATCTAGAAGGATCCAACAGCATCCCGCCTTGTGCGATGCTACGCCGAGGCAGCTGTACGACCGCCTTATTCCACCTCGCGCGATGTAGTTCTGTTCACTCAGTCGCGTGATATCCAATTCGCATCCGCGTTATACAAAAAAAATGTGTTCCCTAATACATCAATCGCGTTATATCCAATTCGCGTTATGAAAACAACACGCGTTATAGGAGAACAGACTGTAATGTGTTCCTCTTTAAGTCTCTCAATGTAATTCCAACCCTGCTAATAATAACAATAATAATCGTCATTAAACGTAATTCAGAGCAGGACAGTTCCCCAATTGGATAACAGTGACAGTCAACATTTCATATCATCCTAATAATACATCTGTGTGTAATTTTGGAGGTAATTATCTGCAATTGTAGTAATGTGGCTTATTTATGGAACGAGTCGATGGTTTTGACGCGTAAATTAAACTGAACGCACAATTGCCAATGCAGCTAATCCGAGTACGTCGGACACCATGGCATTTTTTTACCGAGCATTTTACCACTTAAAAGATAAGTGGACCGATGATTTACGTATGAATTACGGCCCTAGTCAGTCGTCATTCTACGGTCAAGTAAAACAAGCCACGTCACAATTACACGACTGATTAGCCGCATCGTTACAATGCCTGACATGTACACCCAGAATAATGGAACTGCCCTCCCCAGTTAGGCAGTCCACTGCTCGATTAAGGCCTCTCCATCCCATGCCATTCACAGGGTGTTGTTCGACCCAGTGACGCAGCTATCGAGTAGTGTGCAGGCGGTGCAACTGCACCGGGACCCAACGGGCTCGAAAGAGGCCCAGGTACCGGTCTACGAAGAGGGGGGAGGAAATCGGACAGGGGACCCGCTTGTCATTTCTTGCATCAGGGCCCATGACAACCATGGTCCTACGCCACTGGCCTCACCATACTTCTAATAAACTAAAAGTAAACTATTTTTTATTTTACCAGGTAAGGCCCAGTAAACTATATCGCTCTTTTTTTTTCAGAATCGACCTGTCCACAAATGATAGCTCAACGAAGCGGCTTATCATCATGTGTAATTTTTAAGCAGCCAAATACCCTGAGCGGATGTTTCTAAATGTGGAGGGGAAAACCGAAGGACCTGGAGAAGAATCCACGCGACCAGGGGGAGAGAGAGAGAGACACGCAAACTCCAAATATATAGCAGGCGTCAGGGTCGAAATTGAACCCACGCCCTCCTGCATACCAGGCGAGGCAGTTAACATCTTCTGGCCACCGTGATGATGATGATGAGAGACGCAAACTCCAAATATACAGCAGGTGTCAGGGTCGAAATCGAACCCACGCCCTCCTGCATACCATGCGAGGTAGTTAACATCTCACAACCGTGGCGCCGAGTCTCAAGACTCCTAGTCAGGAGGATCCTGCCACACTGAGATGTTTGGAGCCTCAGCGGTTCCACGGCGTCGGCTTTTCGCGGCTGCCCTGCACGGCTCTCCGATGCATTTCCGAGTTGCGCCAACGATTGCCCACAACCAGAACACACGACGGAGGGATAAGAGCGTTTGGCTCCATGTTGGGAGGAAACCGAGGGTGGGGAGCGGTGGCGTAGCGGTTAGCGCGCTGCCACTACGAACCCGGCGACCCGAGTTCGTTTCCCGCTCATCATCATCATCACGGTGACCAACACCGGTGACGCTTATCTGAACCGGTGCTGGGACCTCCCCTAGGTCGACTCAGCCTCAAATGAGTACCTGGTGCAATGTGCAAACATCAGCACTTGGGAGACAAATGCGGCCGGGCGTGGTGCTGGCCACCTACACCCTCGTGTGCTGTGCCGGCCTTCATAGGTGCTCGCTAACAGCACTTGCCCCAACAGTCTGTTGTAGGCTATACGGGGGATCTATCTTTCTTTGGGCGGGGGTGGTGGTGGTGGGTGTTGACGTGACGAAGAGAGAGTGCAAATTCTAGGCAGGCTGGCACGCACACGAAGCGAAGCAGAACCGCCGCTAATCCCATCTGCGATTGTTTTGTCACCTGCAATCGATCGCGTCGCTCCAACCTCCCCGCGTTACAATTTTAGGCTGCTGCTCCTCCTGCTGCTTCGGCTTAAAAAAATTCCCTTTCTATTTTATTTTTAACAGGCGAGTGGATGAGCGTACTTTATGTCTAAAATTAGCCTGCGCAGGCTGCTTCTTTTCTCTGGTCTCCGTTTTTTTTTCAGTTTAAAGACAAATTCCCCAAAAATGGGCACGGCCGCCGGCGACGACTTCCGTGCAGAATCATCAGCGGGGATGTTACCGTGACGGCGCGCGGTCTTCATCGCCGCGGGGCGGGCGGGCGGGCGGGAGGTTCCACGCTCCGGTCTAGGGGCCCTGCTGTTGTCTCCTTGACCAGCTCTCTTCAACTCATTGGTGGCGGCTGTGTTGTTGTTTTTGTTTCGCTGCATTGTGCGCACGGTTGAAGAGGAGACATTCCCCCACCCCGCACCACCACGTTCCAAGCAGATGGCCGGAGCTCGTGCATAAACGCTTAAATCCTTCTTTGGAAAGCGTTCAAGTTGAACCAATTAATACGGCGTCGAGGACAGGAGGAAACGTTTGTCTAGAACAGGAGACGAGCGAAGGGGTTTTTTGGACACGGGTTCGCGATTGATGAATACAGAAACGACGCCACAGCCGACAGCCCCTGCCCAGGTAGGAGGGGGAAAAAAACGAAGTAGGGACTAGTGGAATTAATTGACGTCGAATAGGAGTGCTCGTAAGGCAAACAGCGTTCGAGGGAGTTCAGTTCTTACGACGGGTATTTCGTGTCGTACGATGCCGAACAACGTGCCGGAGAGCCGAATGAAGCTCCCTGCAGGCGCGTGGAGCGAAACGTCGAACATTGTGGGCCTCCCCACCTCAACATGAACTTTGTGGTTAGTGGCTGCGGGCAGCGGCCACCCAAATCTGCCGTCTCGTGCAGTTTTTGTTGCGCGTGTTCATTTTTGTCGTCCTTGCCACGCACCTGCGATCTGCGCGGTTTTCTTAAGAAGTTCGGCATACACACACAGACAGCGATGTGGGGTGGGGACACACACACACACCTAATCATAATCGTTATTGAGCAAAATCAACTTGCAATGACTTGTATAACCCTTCCCTCCGTCTCTCCCGCGAAGGGTTAACGATGACGACGAGGTGAGGCTCATGCTGTGGGACACGGCCGGCCAGGAGGAGTTTGACGCCATCACCAAGGCCTACTACAGAGGTAACGCCGCCACCTGCGCACCCATCGCGAACCACTCGGACCGTGCTCACCTGCACCTGACCCCCCCCCTCCCCCGCTTTGTGCGCGCGTCTTGAGCGTCGCGGTTGTGCTAACGGCGCGTCTCGGAATCGCGTCGCTTTGGAGTCTGACCGAGCCGGTACCCCGGGACGGGGCTCGAGGCCGTGCCTCTGCTGTAAGCAACTGGTTGCCCGCAACTGGTTGCCCGCAACGGGTTGCCCGCAACTGGTTGTCCGCAATGGGTTGCCCGCAACTGGTTGCGGAGACGTCCACTGTCGCACGCGGAACTTGGTTGCGTGCAGACAAGTTGCATGCAGCCAAGCAAAAGCTGAATGGGCCCCCAAAGCGGCTCAAAGAGTCGCCGAATATCAAACCACCTTCACCAACCCGCGCTGACGAGCACGGGGAAGTATGGCTTAATTTCAGCCTCAGCAATATTCACTGCACCCGACACACCACATCCCACAGTATACCTTTCGCTATGGCTGTAGCTTCTTTCCAGTTACCTTTCGCCCTGCTGAGCGCGGTCTTTAAAAACGAAAACTCGCACAGCGTCGGGAGGAGGCCCCCCAATCCAGCAGTGGATTGACCACGGCTGCTGCTCGCCTGCAGGCGCGCAGGCGTGCGTGCTGGTGTTCTCCACCGTGGACCGGGACTCGTTCCTCTCCGTGGCCGCGTGGAAGGAGAAAGTGGAACAGGAGGTGGGAGGCATCCCCACGGTGCTCGTCCAGAACAAGATCGACCTCCTGGACGAGGCCGCGGTGCACAGGCAAGGGGCCCACGGCCACTGCCACCCAGCGCCAACCACCACCCACCAAACACCGCCACCCACCACCACAAACCACCTCTATCGCCAACCACCACCAACTACAACCGCCACCAAACACCACCAATCACCACCGCCACCACTACCACCACCAAACACCACCAACCCACTACTGCCACCACCAACCACCACCAAACACTATCAAGCACCACCGCCACCACTACCACCACCAAACACCACCAACCCACCACTGAGGGGTTAGGATGTGAGGGGAAGTTATGATGATGGTGGTGGTAATAGTGATGATGATGGTGGTAATAGTGATGATGATGGTGGTAATAGTGCTGATGGTGGTGGTAATAGTGATGATGATGATGGTAATAGTGATGATGGTGTTAATAGTGATGGTGATGGTGGTAATAGTGATGATAATGGTGGTAATAGTGATGATCGTGGTAATAGTGATGATGGTGGTAATAGTGATGATGATGGTGGTAATAGTGATGATGATGGTGGTAATAGTGATGATGATGGTGGTGGTAATAGTGATGATGATGGTGGTAATAGTGATGATGGTGGTAATAGTGATGATGATGGTGGTGGTAATAGTGATGATGATGGTGGTAATAGTGATGATGATGGTGGTAATAGTGATGATGATGGTTCTGCTATATTTGAGGATGACAGCGATGTTTATGGCGGGTGGGTAACGACGACGACGACAATGTTGCCGCGTCTCTCTTTGTGCAGCGACGAAGCCGAAGCGCTGGCAAGGAAGCTGCGGCTGAGGTTCTACAGGACGTCCGTGAAGGAGGACCTCAACGTCAACGAAGGCGAGCGGCGGCCCACGAGACCCAGCCCGATCGCACCCACACACGCACCCACACACACGCACCCACACACACACACACGCACCCACACACACGCACCCACACACACGCACCCACACACACACCCACACACACGCACCCACACACCCACACACACACCCACACACACACACCCACACACGCACACACCCACACACCCACACACGCACCCACACACACGCACCCACACACACGCACCCACACACACATACCCACACACACACACGCACCCACACACACGCGCCCACACACACACCCACACACCCACACACACACACCCACACACCCACACGCACACACCCACACACCCACACACCCACACACCCACACACACACCCACACACACGCACTCACACACACGCACCCACACACACACGCACGCACACACACACGCACGCACACACCCACACACACACACACCCACACATACACGCACCCACACACGCACCTACACACACCCACACACACCCACACACGCACGCACACACACCCACACACGCACCCACACACACGCACCCACACAGACGCACCCACACACACGCACCCACGCACACGCACGCACGCACACACACGCACGCACACACACACACACCCACACACGCACCCACACACACACACACCCACACACACAGCCACACACACACACGCACCCACACACACGCACCCACACACACACCCCCACACACACACACACCCACACCCACACACCCACACACGCACCCACACACACGCACCCACCCACACACACGCACCCACACACACCCACACACACACGCACGCACACACACCCACACACACACGCACCCACACACGCACCCACACACACGCACCCACACACACCCACACACACCCACACCCACCCACACATACACACCCACACACACACACGCAGGACACACATAGGTCTGCCGTGTACCCTCCACAGTGCTGTTAGCGAGCACCAATGAAGGCCGACACGGCACACAAAGTGGGTTGGGTGGCCAGCACCATGCCCGGCCGCCTTTGTCTCCCGAGTGGCGATGTTTGCACACCGCAATGAGTACTTATTTGAGGCTGAGTCGACTTCGAGGAGGCCCAACACCGGTTCAGATGATCCGTCACTGATGTTGGCCGTGAGCGGGAATCGGACTCGGTCGCTGGGTTTGCAGCGTAGCGCTAACCGCTGCCCCGCCGCTCCCCATCCTCATCTCTCCTGACCCTTTGCTCCAGTTTCTCCGTTGCCTTTCCATCCTTTTCCCTCTTATTTCCCAATGATTTATCTTCTCTCTTCCCGTTCCTTTCCCCATTAATGACATCCTCGACTCTGCTCCCCACACCGTGCTCTGTCACGGACACAAAAAAAACATTGCGAGTATACACACACACATATAGGTCATTTGCCTTGGTTAAGCATTGATCAATCCCGTGTGCGTTAAACCCCCTCTGGCTGTGTCCCCCTGTGCGCGCAGTGTTCAAGTACATCGCCGAGAAGTATCTGATGAGGGTGAAGCAACAGAGGGTAGAGGAGCAGAGCCGGCCGGCATCCAAGGGCAGCCGCATCGGTAGGGCTGCTCCCTCCAAACCCCACCGCTGCCATTCACCATCACAGCGCAGTGTACATCGTTGTGACGTATTACCATCACCATAGGTCCCTGTGCGAGTCTGTGGGTCCCTGTGTGAGTCTGTGGGTCCCTGTGTGAGTCTGTGGGTCCCTGTGTGAGTCTGTGGGTCCCTGTGTGAGTCTGTGGGTCCCTGTGTGAGTCTGTGGGTCTCTGTGTGAGTCTGTGGGTCCCTGTGTGAGTCTGTGAATCCCTGTGTGAGTTTGTGCGTCTCTGTGTGGGTCTGTGGGTCTCTATGTGAGTTTGTGGGTCCCTGTGTGAGTCTATGGGTCGCTGTGTGAGTCTGTGGGTCTCTGTGTGAGTCTATGAGTCCCTGTGTGTGTCTATGGGTCTCTGTGTGAGTCTATGGGTCTCTGTGTGAGTCTGTGGGTCTCTGTGTAAGTCTGTGGGTCTCTGTGTGAGCCTGTGGGTCTCTGTGTGAGCCTGTGGGTCTCTGTGTGAGTCTATGCGTCTCTGTGTGAGTCTATGGGTCTCTGTGTGAGTCTATGGGTCTCTGTGTGAGTCTGTGGGTCCCTGTGTGAGTCTGTGGGTCTCTGTGTGAGTCTGTGGGTCCCTGTGTGAGTCTATGGGTCTCTGTGTGAGTCTGTGGGTCTTTGTGTGAGTCTGTGGGTCTCTGTGTGAGTCTATGGGTCTCTGTGTGAGTCTATGGGTCTCTGTGTGAGTCTGTGGGTCTCTGTGTAAGTCTGTGGGTCTATGTGTGAGCCTGTGGGTCTCTGTGTGAGCCTGTGGGTCCCTGTGTGTGTCTGTGGGTCTCTGTGTGAGTCTATGGGTCTCTGTGTGAGTCTATGGGTCTCTGTGTGAGTCTGTGGGTCGCCCTGTGTGTCTGTGGGTCTCTGTGTGAGTCTGTGGGTCCCTGTGTGAGTCTGTGGGTCCCTGTGTGAGTCTGTGGGTCTCTGTGTGAGTCTGTGGGTCCCTGTGTGAGTCTATGGGTCTCTGTGTGAGTCTGTGGGTCTCTGTGTGAGTCTGTGGGTCTCTGTGTGAGTCTGTGGGTCTCTGTGTAAGTCTGTGGGTCTATGTGTGAGCCTGTGGGTTTCTGTGTGAGCCTGTGGGTCCCTGTGTGTGTCTGTGGGTCTCTGTGTGAGTCTGTGGGTCCCTGTGTGAGTCTGTGGGTCTCTGTGTGAGTCTGTGGGTCCCTGTGTGTGTCTGTGGGCCTCTGTGTGAGTCTGTGGGTCCCTGTGTGTCTGTGGGTCTCTGTGTGAGTCTGTGGGTCCCTGTGTGAGTCTGTGGGTCTCTGTGTGAGTCTGTGGGTCCCTGTGTGTGTCTGTGGGTCTCTGTGTGAGTCTGTGGGTCCCTGTGTGAGTCTGTGGGTTCCTGTGTGAGTCAATGGGTCCCTAAACCGGTCTGTGACTTCCGATGAGTGACTCGGCAACGTGTGTCGTGTGCCCTCCTCCACGTTTGGCTGTGCCGGGTGGAGGAGGGCACACGACATAATGCGTTGGCATTTCACCCAAGCGGCAATCCCACCCAAAAATCTATCACGAATCGCGCCATTGCCCGTGCATAAACATAGACACACGTAAACAGCTCTGTCGTACTAATAAGATGATTGACGATGATGATGATGATGATCATGCCAGGGTGGCGAGACTTTAACTACCTCGTCTGGTATACAGGAACCATGGGTTCGATCCCGACACTGACGCCTGCTGCTGTATATTTGGAGTGTCCATGTTCTAGCCGTGGTCGTGTGGATTTTTTTCCGGGTCTTCCAGTTTTTCGCTCCACATTTAGAATGCACATCACGCGTTGAGAGAATTTGGCTGTTGTAAACTTCCACGTGACGATAAGCCACTTCGTTGAACTATCATCTGTGGCCAGGTCGCTTCTGAAAAAGAGCTACGTAGCTCAGCGGGACTTAACCTGGTCAAATAAAAAAAATGTGAGTAAGATGATGATGATGATGATAACCTCTTTGAATGCGTCGCTAGTCGTCGTCGTAGGTAGCGAATGCAGGACACCGGTGCGCGGTGTTCACGACGTCCCCCCCCCCTCCCTTCTCTTGCCGTCTCGCCCCAGGGAGTAACCCCTTCTCGGCCGTGGGCACCTCGGCTGAGCGCCCACACTGGACGCAGGCGAATCGCTCCGACCTCGTGGCGCTGCGGCCCAGCAGGCAGCGGGCCAAGCGCAGCCGGGCCACCCTGGGTGGCTGCCGGGTGCTCTGAGCGATGCTGCTGCCTCTCCCTCATCCTCCTCCCGATCCTCATCCTTGCCCCTGCTCTCTCTTCCTCCGTCCGTCATCGTCGTCGTCACGGCTGCTGAGCAAGCGACCGCAGCCGCCTGCCGATAGCTCGCCGCGGGTGCTGGAAGACGCCGTGCGGTTCTGCTGATCTTGTTGTCGATAGTGGGTGTATCGGTTCGGCTGATTGTGTTGTCGATAGTGGGTGTATCGGCCAGGGCCGGATCTAGAGGGACGGGCAACCCCGGACGGTTTTCATCCTACTGGCTCAAAACTTCAGAGAGGCCTCGAAAATAAATTTTAAAAACGTAAAAATGAAAATGTTTACGAATAACGGTGAGCTATTTTGTTCTTAAAATTATATTGTCATTTTATTATGACGAAAATAAACAGTGTCTTTGTTACGAGCGCTGCCACAGCGTAAGTGGTTCTCACACCGGACTACTGCAACCCAGAGGTCGCCGGTTCGATCTCCCAGCCCAGCAGCTGAAACTATGGTGGCAATTTTCTTAAATGCCCCCCCCCCCACCACCACTGCCTCTGTCCACCCAGGAATATAAATGGTTTCGTGTGGTGGGGTAAAGCGTGGGGTACACCCCTCCTCTTCCAAGATATCCGGCCAACGCGGACGAGCAGCCTCCGTAGAGCTGCGTCTGTAGTGTAGGGAGAAGTGCCATGAGAAAGGCAATGGCCGTGGTGCAACTTTACCCTTTGGTTCTTTCGGTAAAGTCACGTGGGTAGAAAGATCAAATTAAACAAAAAATAATATATCGCGACTTTTCGATCGCAACACAGGCGGTCGTCCTCAGGCGGAAAAAAAATATATAATCCAGCAGTGGTACTGCTGAACAAGCGAGAGAGCTGTTACAACAAGAAGCTATTTACGAGGCGATGTGCAAGCAAGCGAGGTCTGAGCTAGAAAGGAATTCCATCCCCGGACGCAAGCAACCTCTTGTTGTAACAGCTCTCTCGCTGGTTCACCAGTTCCACTGCTGGATTATTATTTTTTTCCGCCTGAGGATGACCGCTTGTGTTGCGATCGAAAAGTCGCGAAATATTATTTTTTGTTTTATTTTATTTTTCTACCTACGTGACTTTACCGAAAGAACCAAAGAGTATGGATTCCTGCAGTCACGGAAGCTTCAAATCAAGATTGCAACTTTACCGTTTATCGTTTTTTGCGGCAGGTTGGCCTCGCAGCAAGAAGTCTCCCTGGGTTTGATGCCCGACTCGGGCGTCTTTTTCTACTTGGAGTTTGTATATGTTCTATATGGGGTTTATCCCATAGCTAAACAGAAAAAAACGCACAGTGGAACTGGTATGGCTCAGTTAGCTGCTGAAATTTTACCTGCAAATTACTTATTTGTGATTACTCATAGCGGCAACAGGATCAGAATCTTTATTTATCTTGGAGAAATAAGATGAGCTTTGAAGCTCTTTTTCACAGATGTCCAGAAGGGGTGAGTCAGAACATTACTACACTTAACCCCGACTGTAAAAACTTGGCAGGACCCTCCTGAATGAGAATCTTGAGACTCAGTGAGGCTTTGCTGGGTAATAAATAAATACAAATATACCAATAATCAAAAAGACTTGCTGCTTTATGAGGTGGTTTTAATTCAATCCTTCAATTTTACCCATCTGACATCCGGCATAAAGGGATACGTTTTGTGTGCGTGTGTGTCTGTGTGTATGTGTAAGTGGGGAGCGGTCGTGTAGTAGTGAACAGAACTGCGCTGTAAACCCAACAACCCGCGTTCGATTCCCGCTCACGGCCAACATCGATCCGTAACGAATATCTGAACCGGTCCTAGTTCTCCGCTGGGTCCACTCAGCCTTAAATGAGTACCTGGTGGGGTGCGTTAACATCAGCACTGGGGGTGACAAAGGCGGCCGGGCGTGGTGCTGTCCACACCACCCCCTCACACGTGTGCCGTACCAGCCTTACTAATGGGTCTGTTGAGGCTACACGGGGGACCTTTATGTGTAAGAAGAGGTGGGGGGTGCGGCGGTGTGGGGGACCTGTTCTGCCCTGGTGTTCATTCCGTGGAGTGGGGATGCCTAAATCCGGCCCTATCAGCAACTCTCTGTGCACTATCTCTGGGTGTTGTCGTTTTTTGCAGTACATGAACAGTATTTATTTGACTCGTTTTTTTGCCATTGCCTGTGGCATATTTTTTGAACTAACTAAAACAAATACAAAGGGCATTTTTGAAGTTAACGAAGAGAGGAATAATAATACTGTAATGAGAACAAAATGATCGTCTCGCGCGATTGGGGTTAATAAATCGTGATCGGCGGATAGATTGCTGTGAATCCCGACGCAATGTTGGCGGCTGGCCCAGGGCTTCATTTCAGCCAAATATTCATGAAACCGGCACACCACATCCAGTATACATCTGACTGTGGGCTGTGGCTACTACTGGTCACGTGCCACCTCGTCCAGTCGACCAGTGACCCAAAAAATGTGTCCGCGCCCCGCACGCCGTATTCAGTATACTCTTGGGTCTTTCTGTAAAGTCACACAGATAGGTTCAAAAAAAATTACAAAAAAATTCGGACGTTTCGATCGCGACACAAGCGTTCGTCATCAGGAGAAATAAACTCCTTAAAATACTTTTTTTTAAAACAACGGTTTTATTTTAAAGTGCACTAAAAAGTAAATGACTCGATTGGAGAACGGGAAGTGGACAACATCTTGATGACACGTGGCGCCTGAGACACGTGGCGAGGCGATTCCAGAGTTTAGGGACCGCGGCGTTTTTGACCTATCCCAAATAAATACTTAATTAATAAGCCGTCCATACAATATGCTAATTGCTTTAAAAGAGCCAATTAATTGATTAATTGATGACGATTTTGATACAGGCATGCATTGTCACCGGATCTGAGTACGTGTGCAAAATTTGGAATTGATTGGACAACAGGAAGTAGAATAAATTTTGATTGCAAGATTTGACCCCGACAAACATACGGGTCAGGTTAAGTAAAACCGTTGCAAAAGAGCGGGAAAGCTGCTGAGGCAGGCTGTTTTAAAGGTTTCAAATGGGTGCAGCCCAAGGGTCATAAACGAAGTGGGCGGGGCTAGTTATGTTAATGTGATAAATTTGCATGTTAATGTCAGGTGGGAGAGCGGCCTCCATCCACCTTTAACATCACTCGCCCCGCCCACTTCGTTGATGACCATTGGGCTACACACATTTTAAACCTTTAAAACAGCCTGCATCAGCAGCTTTTCCACTCTTATTTCTCGTGAGGACGAACGCTTGTATCGCCATCGAAACGTCGTAGTTTTTTATTTATTTTCTTTGAACCTATCTACGTGAATTTACCGAAAGACCCAATAATATGAATTCCTGCAGTCACGAAAGCTTTAAGTTAAGATGTATTCAGTATACCTAACAATTTGTGTGAATATAGGAATAGGTTTTACCCTTTTAACTGGCACAAAAACTGACACCTTTATTCAAGGCATCATGTTTGCAATAACCAATAACATGATGCCTTGAATAAAGGTGTCAGTTTTTGTGCCAGTTAAAAGGGTAAAACCTATTCCTATATCTTGTTTCTGGCAAAGGAGGTCTCATAATGTAAATTTGTGTGAAACTAAGCCCTGGCCGGACCAGTGTCTGAGTGCGGCTTGCCTTGGAAATAAATCAGACCTTGTGAATGCACCAGGAGTGGAGCTCTTTATCGCTGTGAGAACCACACTGAGCAAGCAAACAAACAACACCGCCGATACTGATGCACATATCACCGCCGCGGCAACTTCTACTGCCGCTTATGATACACAGTCACTGTTGCTGCTGCCGATACAATGGTGATGCTGAAGATGCTGCTGATGATGATCATCATGCTGCTGATGATAATCATCATCATGCTGATGATGCTGCTGCTGCTAATAGACGTGGCATTGCACTCGCGATGCTGTTGATAACCCTCATGCTGCTGACGATAATTCTCACTCTGCTGCTTATTCTGCTGCTACTGCTGGCATCAATGCTGCCGGCGCACGGGTGGGTGACGTGGGGGAGGGGTGGGGGTGACGTGGGGGGGGGGAGACGGGGGGTGACACGGAGTGGGGGTGACGTGGGGGAGACGGGGGGGGTGACACGGGATGGGGGTGACGTGGGGGGGGTGACGTGGGGGGGGGGGTGACGTGGGTGGGGGGGGGTGACGTGGGGGGGGGGTGAGACGGGGGGGGGGTGACACGGGGTGGGGGTGGCGTGGGTGAGACGGGGGGGGGGTGGTGACACTGGGTGGGGGTGACGTGGGGGGGGGTTGAGGCGGGGGGGGTGGTGACACTAGGTGGGGGTGACGCGGTAGGAATGATTCACTGCCCAGGATGACTCACTCCGTTGTGCCGGAGCGCTTTCTTGTTGCTGCTGCTGATGATGATGACGACCACGCCTCTGCTCGCAGGGAGACCAATTAGCGGCAGCTTTGCCAGCGGCGGCGGATGAATGCGCGGCGTGCGGATTGCACGACGTTGACTCCGCTTATCGCCATCGTTAGCAGCCATGATCAATCCAGCTGTGCTGGGTGAAAGCCTCCCCTCCCACCACCCCCTCTCAAGCCGTCACCATCTCTCACGGTGCTGCAATGATGTGACAATCCGCAGGCGGCATTGGCGGGCACACGAGAGATGATGTTTCGTCGCTCCGTCTCCACGGTTAACGTCCTCTCAGAAGCGTTCCGTGCACTGGCTGCCGCTCGGTCGTTAAACTGCGCGTGTCTTCCAACGGGGAATTTGTTTTTGTTTTTTAGCACATTCGTCAACGACGCTGCGGTCTTTAAAGGGAAAACTTAATATGCGACGTTTCGGGCAATGAACCTTCTTCACAGGACATATTTACGCTACATGCGCTATGAAGAAAGGTAATTGTCCGAAACGTCGCCTATTATATATTTTAAGACCACTCTGATTGACTAATGTGTTTGGGGTTTTGTTGCTGAAGAAGGGTAATTTCCCGAAACGTCGCCTATTATATATTTTAAGTCCACTCTGATCGACTGTGTTTGGGGTTTTGTTGCTGAAGAAGGGTAATTTCCCGAAACGTCGCCTATTATATATTTTAAGATCACTCTGATCGACTAATATGTTTGGGGTTTTGTTGCTGAAGAAGGGTAATTTCCCGAAACGTCGCCTATTATATATTTTAAGACCACTCTTATTGACTAATGTGTTTGGGGTTTTGTTGCTGAAGAAGGGTAATTTCCCGAAACGTCGCCTATTATATATTTAAGACCACTCTGATTGACTAATGTGTTTGGGGTTTTGTTGCTGAAGAAGGGTAATTTCCCGAAACGTCGCCTATTATATATTTTAAGACCACTCTGATCGACTAATGTGTTTGGGGTTTTGTTGCTGAAGAAGGGTAATTTCCCGAAACGTCGCCTATTATATATTTTAAGACCACTCTGACTGTGTTTGGGGTTTTGTTGCTGAAGAAGGGTAATTTCGCGAAACGTCGCCTATTATATATTTTAAGACCACTCTGATTGACTAATGTGTTTGGGGTTTTGTTGCTGAAGAAGGGTAATTTCGCGAAACGTCGCCTATTATATATTTTAAGACCACTCTGATTGACTAATGTGTTTGGGGTTTTGTTGTTTTGCTTGTGAACCAGTGCCAACGCAGCAGCAGCGCCACCAAATAACTCGCCTCTTAATGACATCCTTTCAAAGTGTTACTTATCTCAGTGGCCGTTAACGATGCCATTTAATCTTCGTACCTTCTCC